TCGAATTCATAAGGAGGTGTATTTGTTTTGGCTCTGCGGCACATCTCCCGGACAGCAACACCCTGTTCACGAGCAAGCTTTATGGCTTCCGCCTTGTGCTTGGAGAGGGCAGCCACCGCCGGGTCCAGAAAGCGCGATCCACGTGAGGGATCCATGGCGGATTCGGGATGCTGTGAGGGTAGCGGATGATCTTGTAAGCCAAGAGGGGAATCAACTGGTTGTTGACAGAGAGAAGGCTGGCGGGGCCGGATGAAGCTGTCGGGACTCAGACCCTTGCCAGGATCCAAGGGTACAAAGGGGAGGGTAGGTTGGTGACCTGGAGACTCACAATCAAATGCCGGGAAACACTCAGTAGGAGAAACAGGTGTGATGGGATCGAAAGGTGTTCCAGGGGAATTGAAATTCACAGGACGGAATGAAGGTGGAGTGTGGATCAACGGCGGCGAGAGGGGGGAAAAAGGATCCCAGCAGCCTGTGGGGGCTTCACAAACACCTTGAGCGAACGGTAAGACTTGAGCCCGACGATGTTCTTGGAGGTTGGGGAAGTGTGTGGACAAGGGAGCAATAGTAAGAGGAGGCACACTGATCAAAAACGGGTCAGCAAGAGTCAATCTTGCTGGTGGTCTTTCCCCTTCTTCTTTGGACCGTCCTGGCCAGAAGAGGTTCTGAAGAGCCGAGCCGATCTTGGAATCAGAGCCTCCGGTACGCGGGGAGTGTCTCTGCGCGTTGCGACCAAAAGGGTATGTGTCCGAACGGAAGAGTCGCCTTCTCCGCAGAGAGTCGTTCGCCTTGGTGGCACGTGCTTCACCTGGAGATTGTTCGCCCGGTGATTTCGAGGTGGGCGATTTCCCCGAAAAACTCTTCTTCTGTTCGCTCCCTCTGTCGGCCTTCCTGCCGAAAAATGGCAGTCGTTCTCGCCTGCTGCTTCCTGAGCGTTGGTGAGATCGGTAGCCCGGCTCGTCACTCGCGCTTTTCTTATGCAGGAGGCCCTGCTGCCGACGGTTTTTCCCGTCCTCGAACAGACTATCTTTTGGGCCTATACAGTGATTAGTACTTGAATTCAAGCCTGACTTCGACAGCAACTCACTATTATGCCCTTCTTGGCCCGCTACGCGGCCTTGATCGCCCTCCTGGCGATATTCCTGCCAGGATTGGGGACTGCAACTAGATCAGCATGTATAACCAAATAATTCGGATATGTCAGACCCGTCGACGCGTTCGCAGGGCTCAAAAGAGCTTGAACCTGCCATTATCAAGGATCACGCAGAAAACGATGCGAATTTTGAGAGAGAAATAACGAAGAACGAGAAAGTCGGCACGGACACGGTTCATCAACAAGCATGACACGACACAGAACACAAGCAGAAGAAGCAAGCGGCAGAAGACGAAGAAATCATAATAGACACGGGAAGTGACCGCCAAATTCACTGACTTACATCGAAGCTAAAATGGGAGTCTCCCAATATAGAACGGATCGAAGGAGGCCGATTCTCACTGTTGGCTGGTTTTCAGAAACCGATGGGACCAGCCAGTGAACTACAAAGTGTTAGCTACATAATGAAACACATCATGCTGTTCCTGGGGACCTGTGATCTCAGGCACTGCGGAAAGCCCACCCAAGATAAGCACAAACTCACCTCGAATGCTGTGTTGCACTGAAGCCCAGGATGCCGTGAATATAAGGCGGTGAGAGATGTAAAGAAGAAGAAGACGCTAGTTTAGCGCCAGGCAGAAACCAGTTCTGCAAGTGCTAGGCAGTTGAGCTTTAGTGAATTCGAGATATCTGATATGTGGTGAAGTGCGCAGGCCACGAGCTATGATACTGACAATCCACATTCACCTTTCTGTACAACCAAGAAGTGACAGCCTGCGGTACTTGAAAGTCTCTCTATATGCACGGCCTTGAGTTCACCTGCACAGTTATGTGGCATCAACAGAGAAGCCAGATGCTAAATGCTGGAACAAATGAACTCTTCTAAGTGAAATAATCTGCATGCAGGTTAGCACTGCACCAGCTAGCATCTACAAAACAGAGCACACTATTAAAGCCAAGCAGAAAAAAAACAGTGATCACAAATGGCTTCACATCCAGACGCAAAACAGCCACTGAGCCCAGACAGCCAGCTTGACTAGTCAGGCATCTTCAGTCCTAACCGCCTCATACCCATCACGTGACATTTGAGCAAGAAGCGCAAGAAACCCGAACATCTGCCCAGCAGGCAATTCGACCACCAAGACGCAAAACATATTTCTCTATTGCTATCTATAAAAAGCCGAAATACCACTCACCTACAACAAGCACCCAGTAATCCCACAACCAAGCCAGCTGGTCTACCACAAGACAACGAACAAGGAACCTGTCGTTCGCAATGCAGGGGTAACGGAATCAGGGCAACGGAAAACGGAAAGAGAAGAAGTCTAAGGGTATCAAGAGCTGGATGAAATAAGATCAATAATGAAAAACAAGATACATCGTCTCCCTTCTCTCGTTAGATAGTTATATCGACAATCTAAGGCAGTTGATGGAGGGTTTTGGGGCAAACGTTCGATTAAAGTTCCAGAGCGTTCGCTCGGGATAGTGTCACGCTGGTGGGTGGATCAGCGGCGGAATATCGTTTTCACGCGGTTCCGATGTCGTTAGTTTCCTACGAATGTGATAGATAATAGCTGCGCAACGAAAGGGAATTATGGAATTTGGGGATTTGCAAAGACTACTGCTGATTGGAATATTCTTTTCATACGAGTCTCATGTTATGGTAAATTTTCATGCATGACGAAGGTCCTATACTGTAACAGAACAAACATTCAATTTGTTTTCTCTATAGATGATTTCACGCTAGGATTAAGATGAGTTATCTACTTCTTTCGTATTTACAACTTTTTGTAGAAGTCAACCGCTCTCTACAAACCGAACTGGGTTCTCAGAGAATCACCAAACCGCCGAATGGCTTCGGTGATGCCTTCCGAGCTGGCGGCAGCAAACGTAGCGCGGAAGAACATCTTCTCCTCGTTGACTCCAGACGCCTTGAACCAGCTGCCACGAGAGACAAGGACGCCGTTATCGATGGCAGCGAGGAACACTTCCTCTTCGATGGCTTCACGAGTCTTGCCGGAAGCCAAGCCGGGGTGCTTCTTCCAATCAACCTCGATCCAGTGCTACCAGTGTGTTAGCTTGTCATGTGACCCGGGACTTATAGTAGCCATAGTGGAAACTTACAAACATGCCTGCTGCAGGGGGGATCCACTGAGCAATCTCCCGGGGCAGGTACTGTTCACAAGCATGCATCATCGTATCACGGCGGCCAGTGTACTGCATGCGCAGGTTGATCAGCCAGTCAATGTATCCAGAGTGACCCCAGTGCTCATCGAGAAGCTTGTAGAAGATCAGCTGGGAGATACCGCTAGGGTTCTGAGCCGAGGTCTCGCAGTTCCGGATGAATCGTTCCACAACCTGATCCGCAGCGACGATCCAGCCAGCGCGGGATCCAGGAGAAAGGACCTTGGAGAATGATTCGACGCGAAGGACACGTCCATCGACGTCGAGGCTCAGGTAGGATGGCACAAGGGATTTGAGGAAGTCATCGTGGGTCGCTGGTGGCGGAACGGGCTCGCTGTCAGCACCAGCGTAGGGCTGCATCTGCAAGAAGTAGTACGGCTCGTCCTCCACGATGTACACGTCGTGCTTCTGGGCGACCTTGTACACGGCCTTACGCCTCTCTGCGGACTGAGTGGCACCCGTTGGGTTCTGACCAGTGGGAATGGTGTACAGCACGTAAGGCTTGGGGCCACCCCGGGCGGCTTCGTCCCAGTTGCTCAGAACCTCATCAAGGGACTCAGGCAAAAGACCCTCGCCGTCCATTCTGATCGGCGCCACCTTCAGCCCGAGCGGAAGTGCAGTCTCCTGGGCACTCGCAAAAGTGTACTCTTCCATCAAGATGTAGTCACCGCGGTTGCAAAGCATGCGGAGGATTGTGTCCCACGCATACGTGCTACCTGCGGTCAAGCAGCACTGCCAATCGGCATAAGGAGGGTTGTGAATGAGCTAGCAGCGATCAGTTCATGTCATAGATGAAGAATCTTGGTTGTATTGCCTCCACGTACTTCAGTGTGTTCCGTCACGAACCTAAGCAACTGGGGAGTTCCCGAAGCCTGGCCATAGTTAAGGGCAACCTCCAAGTCTGACCATGTGTTCACTTAGTATGCAACTTGAAGCCCGAATCTGGAAGCAACTCACCGTAAAGACTCTTTCCGTTGCGCACGTCACCCTTACTCGCGGTCAGAAGAGAACCGGAATTCTGGATAGCCTCCGGGGTGAAATCAGGGGCGTTGGGGACCTTGACGGAGAGCTGTTCAATGGGGAAGTATTCCGGAGAGGGGAGACCGCCACCCAAAGAGATCAATCCGGGGTTCTTCAGGTACCGCGCAGCACCCTTCAAAGTTGAACTCTAACAAAAGCTTCAGTATCCATGTATACCGTAACCGAAGTGTATAAGCGGACGAACCTTCCGGGACTTGGATTCGATGGAGAAAATATCTTGCGGGGGATTAGTAATTGGCAGAGAGGGAGACAATCGGACAACTTACGATCCCAGCGTTTCGATTGAGGCTTGGTGTAGCAGTGCTAGACGAAAGAATAGAAGGTCAGTTGATCTTTCGCCACAGAACATCGTCCGTTTGTAGAGGCGAGAATTTGAACATACCGGGCTCTTGAACATGTCACTGTTCACAGCAGGAGCAACACCGGTGGGAATCTTTGCGCTCTTAGCTCTCAGGGCAGGGATGGCATCGACCGTCAATGAGCCGGATGCGGCAACCGAGCCCACGTTGTTTGAGTCATTGTCCACGGCGACGGGAGGGCTCATTCTTGAGACAGGGGTACGATTGAACGTAGCGTGCTTGATGAATATGGAAGGCAAGTGAGTGTATTACACACAGTCCACACAAAAGTCAGTGTAGCAAGGTAGAGGACTGAGGGAGAAATTCACAATGCAGGCGAACTGATGGCGAAAGTGAAAGGGGAATCGAGTCACGCAGGGGCGTCCGCTTTTTTCTCCGCTTAAAGTGGGCGGACCGGTTCCGCCGGTAATGCATCATTGGGTCGATGGGGACAGGATTCTTCCACGAGGCACGCAAAGGGCGCGCGCCATTGCTGATGGAAAGGAAGGCAGAAGCAATCAGATGCCGTGGAGGAGCTTCACCGCGTTTTCGTTATCTAATTCCACTGTGAGATGCCGCGAGTTGATGCGATGTGACGCTGTCGTTCACAGGGCGCGGCGGGCGGCGATAACGTAATTGGTAATCCCGATACATTCTCCGTATGGTTGGGCCAGCAGCAGTACTAAAGGCACTTCATTCTAACTGCATCTCAACCAAAGAGCCATGGGTTAGTACCAGCTAGCCTTGTGGTGCATTGGTTCACCGTTGTTGCGGTACGATGTGGCCTGGTGAAAATGAGGGGAAAGCTCGAAGTGAAGCAAGGACCAGCAATTGCAGCAGCAAGACAAGCAAGAATGCATAGAAATCAAATTACCGCTCGGGTGACAACCCCGCGCCTAGATAAGGCTATCGCCGGCATCGGACTTGCTTATCAACCCGATAAGATCTAAGTCTCATCCCCAAATAGGCAATGGAAACGAACTATCACGGCTTCTACTACTGCCTGCCGACGAGTCATTGACTGACCTGTGTTCACCTCTGAAATAACGAGATGAAGCCAATCATCATTGGGTATGACAACCATGTCTGGTAGGGTTCAAAGGGGGAAATTCACGTGGTAAGACTGCATTTACTGGGTTTACCCCTCTTTCAAATGGTTTTGGCAGGAGAAAAGCATGAGTCTGTGCTCACCACCAATGAAGAATTACAGGGTCGCACTATGATCCTGCCGATGTTCCGTCCATGACGAATTCTCTTGAGCTTGAACAGGAGTCCCTCAAATGTACCCGGCACACGACCTAGTATAGCTCTTTCTCTCCACTAAATCTCTTGGGCTACAGATGCTCTCGAATCACACAATAACGTGGCTCTGTCTTCCTCTACCAATTTAATAAGCTTCCCAGTTGGGTCGAGGCGAGCACTGTCATCATAATTCTCATACTCCTCTCGATATGTAAAATCTTATAGGGGACGAGTCCTGGAGCTGGCTCACGCTGGCTCACGCTGGCTCAATGTAACTCTCATAGCTTCCTCAATGAGAATCTTCAGATCAGACAACAGAGCATATTACAATAGTCACTACAGCTCTACCTGGAAAGAGCGGTTTAGCTCTTCAATCTGACGTCTTCCGGGCTATTGCCCTTCTAGTTTTGACGACTGAAGATACTCAAGTCTCGTTTATGGTTCCCCGTTGGAGACAACGTGAGTTACTATCCCTTGGCCAATTCAAACACAGAGAAAGGTGTATTATTATCACGCTGAGATCATTCAAGGTCCCCTGCCGACTTCCCCTTCCTGAAGCCATCACAAGCCCCTTCCAATCAGCCGAGTCCACCCGAGTGAGGCCACAGCTGCGACATCCAAGTCTAGATCAGCGTCTCACTCGCGATGAAACTCAGATGAAATAACTATGACAGGAAGCCCCCTCATGACATTTGCTGTACATAACTTTCAACTGAGACCAACTTCAAACAGCATCCAATGTTATAGGCGTTGAGGCTTTGGAACAGTTACCCGAAAGTCAAATTGGCATCTGGAATCAATACTCCTCTGATACCCCTCTCCACCACCGCATCTCGAGCTGAAAACAGACCATCTCGACCCCAATGCTACGGAGGGGAATGTCTGCGGGGTTTCTTTTGTCACCAAACATCATGGGGTAATTACCATGTGTTAAGTCGTGTTGCGGCTATATAATCCCCTCAAACACTCAGCCGGTTGAACAGAGGATCATCTCAATCAACGAGCATCATCTACTCTAAACTTTAATATCTCAGACTTTTCTTTGACACATACCTTTTTGCATCTCACTAGAAGCTTGAACACCAACCCTAATAATTCAACATGCGTGGAAAGATCGCTCTCGAAGAAGCCTTTGAGGTCAAGGGCATGGATGAGGAGATTGATGCCCAGGCAGCCCTCTATATCGCCCCCAAAGATGTTGAACGCTACAAGCGCCAGATCGTGTCCATCACAGACGAACGCTTGCAGCTGTCCGACCAGAACGGCATTGGATATAGCATCCTCTCCCTGACTGTCCCGGGTATCCAGGGCATCACTGACAAGGACAAGGCCGAGAAACGTGCTCGCGATGTGAACAATTACATTCATGACCAGATCAAGGACCACCGTGATCGACTGGGAGCATTTGCAGCCCTGTCAATGCATGATCCCAGACAGGCGGGACATGAGCTCCGCCGCTGCGTGAAGGAGCTGGGATTCCACGGAGCCTTGCTGAATGATGTTCAGCATACAGGGGAGGGAGACGATGATCAGCCCCTGTTCTACGATCAGCCCGACTACGACGAGTTCTGGAGAGTGGCTGTGGAGTTGGACGTGCCGGTCTATCTTCATCCTGCCGCACCCTTGCGGGATACCCTAATTTACAAGCAATCCTACGAGGACCGCAAGTATCTCGTCGGACCACCCCAGAGCTATTGCAACGGGGTAGCACTGCACCTGATGGGAATCATTGTCAATGGCGTGTTTGATAGGTTTCCCAATCTGAAGGTCATCGTTGGACACATGGGGGAGCGCATTCCATTTGACTTCTGGCGGATGGACCACTGGGTCAAGGGCGTGACACGGCCGCTGGCAGAGAAGAATGGAGATACTGTTTGCCAGAAAGAGCCACTCTACTACTTCAAGCGCAACATCTACATCACCACCAGTGGACATTTCAGCACCCAGAACCTGCGCTACCTGTACGAGTGGCTGGGCGATGAGCGAATGATGTTCAGCGTTGACTTCCCCTACGAGCGAATGGAGCATGGTTGCCAGTGGTACGATGATGACGCGGAGAAGATCAAGGAAGCGCTGGGTGGCCGCGACGGATATCTTCGTGTTGGCAGGGACAACGCAAGAAGGTTGTTCAAGCTCACCAAGTTCAAGGATTGCGATGCTGTTTAGGTAATGTGACGGGGAAACAATCAACATTGAAAGGCGTTCGTTTCCTTACGGGAGATGTTGTTCTGGACTGAAACTGGTTGGAAACACAACAATGGTATCGTAATGCATGCGTTCTTGCTAACTGAAACTGTTACACAATTTGGTATGATATGCTTAATGAGGCGATTCTACTTGCTTTTGCTTTGGTATTGGTCGAACATTGACACCGTAAGAACTGCCTATATACCTACTTCTGGGTACTTATTTCAGCTAAAGAGTTTTATACTCGGGGTAAGAGTCCACCTAAACACACTTTTAACTGACATGTATAAATGTTGTACTATTGAAGGGAAGACTGGAATGCGGCACTATAGGAAGCGAGCCAGTAAAGGAGGAGAGAGAATACCGTGTCATCACCAAATGTTGCTGAGAAGGTCCACTTTCCGTAAGGTAATTGACAGTTGTATTGTTCTGCTTGATGCCTGTCTTATTTGATAGCAACTACCTCAGCCTTCCATATCTCCTCTACACCGTAGCTACACTATGACAGACACTTAGGGAGGCTGAGACCATAACCAATGAACCCGAACAAGGTTCCCCTTTCCCCACCATCTCTAGATCACGGACAATGCACAGGAGTAACAACCTTTTTCTGCGCGTCCTCAACAGTCGCAAGCAGATGTGAAATCTTCGGAGGATACACAGGGCTTGGAGCGACAACATAACTCTTTTCACTCAGCGCTTTAGGAAGAAACTCCTTGAAGATCTTGTAACATATCTCGTGGTCCTTGACCACATTTGCATCTGGCACGTGAGAAGCTGATGCAGATGCTACTGGACGGTTTCCAACGACAGCTTTGCAGATTGCGGTGCTAATATCCGTTTCTTCGGTATCGATTGCACCCAGGAGGTTTGTCTGTTCTGGTTTCTTTAGTATCTCTAAGAGTTCCTCCTTGGCTCTTGTGCTGTACTTGTCAATCACTTGGCTGGCTCTGAGGCCGTGTTCGTAGTCGAATTTCTTGCCTGGTGCTGTGGCTCTTACGTTACAGCCCGCTGCAGCTGCTAGCTGGATGGCGTTGCATCCGGGGCTGGTGGTGCCGCCCCATACTAGAATTCAACCACAGTTTCATCTGTACTATCAAATATGTCCGAAAAGCCAAATCATTGGAAACATTGACTAGTCATGTTATCCTGGAACGATCCCTTCTTCTACTGTATCTAGGCTGCAGATGTCGATGCAGCTGAGGGAGAGGCTGGCCGCTGGGTCCCACGGTTAGTAACCAATGGCTGTCCAACACAAATCCATTGATAGTTGCGTAATTGTCTCATCTCGTGCTTCTGATTTGCTTTTTCTGTACTTAGTATACTAGTATATACACTAGGTTTGGCTCTTTTTATTGGACAGATACCACCCAGTCATTTACTATCCAGCCAACAGCCCTAACCCATCCCCAGCACGACTCCATCCCATCACCATGTTTGAGCGAGTCTCAACTGCCCTAGCCAAAACAATACAAAACAACCCATGGATGAGCCAAGTAGCAGGCATCTTGCCCTTACCAGCCCTAATCGACTTTGTTGACATCCCCGTCAAGATCCATACACTGCAAGTAACCGGCAGCTACCCACTAGGACACGTTCCCTGCTGGGAAGACTGTGGCAGAGAAGGAAGGGGGAGGAAGTGAGTCGGAAGACTCTACTGTCGCCAGTAGTACTACGATTCTCGCGAATGATACGAGCAGGCTATGTCCTGGTGCGATGAAGGCTATTAACCCCATCTTGGAGCCGAGTGATGAGCGCTCGCTGTGGGAGGAGGCGACTCGTGAGGCGATGATGCTCTGTGAGGATGTACCGGTGGAGAAGCGGATTACGGGTCTGAGTAGTACTGAGTGTGGGAATCTGCTTGGTGAGGAGTGGAAGAGGCAGTATGGGAGGCTTTATTGGATGCCGTTTATTAGTGAGGGGATCTATATGGCGGCGAAGATTCGGAGCGAGGCTGGGTTGTCGGGAAGGATGGTGGGAGGGAGTGGTGTTTAGGGGTATTCTCAGTATCATGATATGATGATTATGAAATTGAAGATAGTAGAAATAGATACTATTAGATAAATGATGCTTATGTTCATGTGCATCATGGGGATATCATGACATCTAATGTTTTGGATAATTGGCAAGTCTACCACTATCAACGCCAGGGCCTTCTGCACATTACGTCGTCCTAAAAAAGGTTACAAAAACTTAGTGTTAAATTTCTTCGCAGTGCTAGCAGGCGAAGTGAGAAAGGAAAAGTGTTCCCAGCAGAGGCTATCCGAGGATCCCTTCAGTTGGTGGCTGATGCTCAACAGAGGATCAATGGGGGTGGAACACACTGTTATGTTCATACCAGAGACGGTCAACTGCGCGAGGTGCATCTCCCGGAGAGAAACCCGAGGGTTCGAAGACTACCGAGGAAATTGAATTGCGCGCATTCCGAGATGGAAGTCCAAGCACTGGAAGTCAAATCCCGGTAGCGGAAGTTTAGTTCCCTTGGCTTCCGACCCAATCAGCAGAAATCAGGTTGTCACGTTGCATTTTATCAACCAAAACTAGGTACTGGGAGGGAATCATCGATGTGCGGATCAATCGAGAAAGGATCAGGCACTCCTTCGAGGTGATATTGTATAGGAATTCAATACTGACATAGAGCAGGTCATTGTCTGTATACTGGTTATAGGAGCCCTGTTAAATGTAGTATTTATATTGAGCATAATGATTTCTGTTTCTGCTAGTATGTGTCCTGGTCGGAGGCGGCATCAGTCTTACGCATAAGACTGTATCATAAACATAATCCTCATATAGACGTGACAAGCGTAATAATAAGATAAAAAAACATCACAGCGAAGGCTTCGCGGCGACGTACTTCCCCTGCGTTCCATCGAGCTGCGCCTCCAAAACAGCCGTGGTACCATTCTGCACACTCTTGATCGCCTCAGGTAATAGCTTTCTCAGCTGAGCAACATTAGCAGCCTGAGCGCCCCAAAAGGTACCACCGGATGCAGCTGTCGCAATACCCGGATAGTCGGGAGTCGGGGCGAAAGAGATGTTGAGGTCTTCGTTCGTAGCACGAGATCCATCGCCATTCGGATGGACGAGAAGCATACTGCGACGAGGGGCATTCCAGCCCTTGTTGTTGAGCACGATCGTAAGAATAGGAATGTTATAGCGACGAGCAACCCAGTAAACAGACCCTGGAACGGAAAAGAGATAGGTGCCATCCCCGACGATCTGGCAGACAAATTTGCCTTTGTTTGACCCGCCGTGTTTAGCGTCAGCGGCGAGCTTGATGCCCAGGGCACCGCCGCCGGACCAGCCGAGACCACCACCGCCGCAGTTGATCCAGGATTTCGGCAGTGTAGGCGCAATCTGGTCGGCCACGTTGGCGGTGAGGGTCACGGATTCAATGGCCCAAATGGTATCGGAAGGGCAGGACTGGCGTAGTTGGCTGATGAGATAGTTGGCATTGAGGGGGGCGACATCCCCGCCGGGAGGTAAGCGGGCGAGGTTGTAGATAGCCTGGCGGGTCTTCTTGAAAGCCTCTGCGCGGCGCTTGCCCCGAGCACGGTTCTCATCCGACTGGATTGTCTGCTGAATGGAGGGGTTGGATGCAATGTATTCATTGAGCTGCTTGAAAGCGGTTGCCGACTCAGCGCGGAAGGTGGCAATTGTGGGGATGTAGGCGACGGGAATCTGCTGCTTGAGGGGGTCGACGTCGACGTGAATGATGCGGGCAGAGTCGGACGGCTTGCAGAGCGTCGGAATCCAGGGTACATCACAGTCGGCAACGAGAATGAAGTCGGCGGATTTGATGGCATCATGAACACCAAAGCGCATGCCTAGGTATGCCGGATGGTCTCCGGGAAAGCACATATCGCAGCCGCCAGTGTCGAGGACGCGGATGCCCTGGAAGGTGTTGGCGAGGGTGACCAACTCGTGGACACCTCGCGCTTCTCGGCCAGAGTAGCCGACAATGACCAAGGGATTTTTGGCAGCTGCGAGCTCTGATGCAATCAACTCAACACCTTCAGTTGGGAGAGCAGACGGGGAGACAGACACCCAATGGCTCTGATTGAGAGTGTAAGGAGTAATTTCCTCCTCCATAACTTCTCGTGCACCGGCCAGGTAGACGGGCCCCTTAGGATCACTGGTGGCGAATTGAAGAGCGCGGTTGACCATCTGCTTGATGTTCTTGCCAGATCGAATTTCTGCGGCATACCGGCAGTATTGCGAGACGATCTGCTTCTGGTCGGGAACATCTTGGATCCAATGAATGTATTCAGTGCGCGAGCCACGCATCTCCCCCTCAATCGTATAGGGGGAGAGACCGGCGAAGATCAAGACGGGGGCTCGGCCACAAGAGGCGTTGTGGATAGCGGCAGCGAGCCCCTGGGTGCCGACATCGACATGAACAATCACGCATTGAGGTTCCCCAGTCAAGCGAGCATAACCGTCGGCCATAGACAGGGCCACCATCTGCCAAGGACGCATGCGGGGTTAGTGTCGGGCGAGATCCACAACGAGATTGCATTGATCGGCTCACCTCGTTGGGACAAGTTATGATCTTAGGGAAAGCATTGGGCTTTTCTTTCTGGCCCTTGACCATAGCCTCGAGGATGGAGGGGTGGTCGGAGCCCAGATTGACAAAGACATGGGAGACACCAGCCTGGAAGGTTAGCTTGACCCACATTTCATTGTCGACGGGGGCCGTACCTCCCAGAGTGCCTCGAAGAAGGCAAAGGATGCTGTGTAGACCCTGAGGACTGTCAGTGACTATGAAACAGGCAGAAAAAGCGGTATTGAGAGAAGGCAATTACTCACATCGTCGCAATCGATCAACAATGGTATGTAATGAGCAAGCAATGGTGAAAGTCCGGAGATGAACGAGAGCAATGCGGAGTAAAAGAAGGGGGATACAGGAATTCGGGGATAGATTGATAAAGCCGGCTTAATAAAGACAGGCTCGGGGGCAAGTCCGAACTGGTGAGGAGAAGCTGCTGCTTAACACCGAGGTTAACGGGGATTCACTGAGTAATCACCAAACTAGGTAAGTAGTTCGTTAATAAAGTTAGCACGATGAGGTGGTACCCATAATTGAGCTGCAAGGTGCAATCATGGCTCTATGCTGGGGGCTTAGTGTGGAAGTGCTCGTCTTTCCACTATGCGCCGGAAGCCGATCAGTAGTAACGACAAAAATGGAATCAGAACTGTCCAGTATCACGAGTGTTCGATCAGCCCTATCCTGCCCAGTTCTCTCCGACAGGAGCTTGTTTCAGTGCCAAGTTGGTAGTTGGTGGACCCGTCCACCGATTAATCTTACCAAAATAGTTCCACTGTTCATCGGCCAGTTTGTCAATTGATTATCACTGGCCATCGTCAGCCCGCATGACGTCGTGGCCGCGTCCCTCCAATTGCTCGCGGTTTTTCAAGGGATGCGCTCACCACATCATCTTGTAGCATTGGCCCCAATTATTCGTTATATTATCCCCTGGTCATCCAGAATCTGATTGCTAACCGGTAGCCCCCAAATACGTCATCTCGTAGACAGGCAGCCATCCCTTTTATATTAATATTAATAGTCATGGTCGCGCCAGTGGCCTGGGGTCCCGCCAGCGAATCCACTTGGATGCCCCTTTTTAAACTCGCCAGCGCCGTGTTTTCCTTGAGTTTGGCTTCGTTGATTTTTTGGTATCTTCGTCAGCCAAAAAGTGCCAATCAAGTGCGAACCACCATGCTCTCCGACACTGTATATGAGCTCTGTCATGACGAAAAGACCGTCACCTCGGAGCTTTTGCAGGATCCGTCGCAGTCGCCCACCAAGCTATTCCAAAAGCTGTATCATGATCGGAAGACAAAGTCGCACAAATCCAACTCGAATGAGTCGTTAGACATAGGTGAGAATGAACTGCGCAAAGTTCTGCAGTGTGGAAACTGGGGCAGTTCCCAGCCCAGCGACCTTTTCTTGAAGGTAATTAACCGGCCAATCCTATCATGTTTCTTTCCTGAAGGACATATCTGACAATCATCAGATCTACCATGATGCGCTTTGCGCATTAGAAAAGAATCCCATGTCCGGGGTAGTCTCCCCGCCACTCATGGGCAGCCACGGCGTAGTTCCTCTGACTATCATCGCCCCATTGCCTGATCTCTGTCGTCATATGGCAAACTGCATTGTGCGAGCTGAGAAGGAAGTGTTCCTGGCGACGAATTTCTGGATTCACTCCGATGCATCGACGCTGGTAACTAATGCATTTCGTGAGCTATCCCGACGAGCCGGCGAGCGTGGAACGAAAGTGATTGTCAAGATGGTCTATGATCGTGGAGATCCGCAGCAACTGTTCGAGAACCACCTACCAGTGCCGGAGAAAAAGTATACCAGCGAAAAGGTGCAGCTGCCTGCGGCTCATGAGATTCCCAACATCGATCTGCAGGTAGTCAACTACCATCGGCCCATCTTCGGAACCTTTCATGCCAAGTTCATGGTCATTGATCGGCGTATTGGACTGCTGCAGAGCAGTAATGTGCAGGATAACGATAACTTAGAGATGATGATCCATGTCGAGGGACCCATTGTGGATGGGTTGTATGACACGGCGTTGATTTCGTGGGGTCGTTCGCTCGACCCTCCACTGCCCATGCTGGACTCTCCCGCCACGGAGGCTCCCATTCCTTGTCACGCCTCGCAGCAGCCAGATTATGATGCTCCCGACCCGGGGCCTCTACCGGAGCTTACCGTCGATGAGCATCACTATGACTCGGATATTCGCGCTGAGGCCCAGCGCATGAACGGCCTGCTGTTACCACGTGAAGGAGAGACCAGAACGCAGGCCGTAACTCGTCGCTTAAGTATGCACCACCACCTTTAGTGATTAATACATGATTAGGAGCTAATTCTCATAAATAGATACCACAATTCAAACCGACATGTCCGCCGACGCCCCCGAAAGCGACCAAGACCCCATCATGCAGCCTTACGTCGTTCTCCCACCGCACGACCCCTTCCCCATGGCTGTTATCAACCGTGAACCCTGGGGTGCCCCCAACCACAGCAGCATTCACACGCCGCAAAACAGCAGCTTCCTCGCGGCAATCAACAACGCGCAAGAATCCATCTTCATCCAGACGCCCAACATGAACGCCGAGCCCATCATCCAGGCCCTCATCGAGGCCATCAAGACCCGCGAGGTCACCGTCACATGCTACTTGTGTCTGGGGTACAACGACGCTGGCGAATTACTACCGTTCCAGAACGGGACGAACGAGATGGTGGCGCATCGGATGTACAAGGCGTTGGACACGGACGAGCAGCGGTTCCGTCTGCGGATCTTCAACTATGTGGCGAAGGATCAGGTGCGGCCGATTCATAACAAGTTTAAGCGGAGAAGTTGTCATATTAAATTGATGATCGTTGATGAGAGGGTTGCTATTCAAGGTATTTCCAACTCCATACTTCAATTCGTATCTCAAGGTGATAAGAAATCTGACGAATACACAGGTAATGGAAACCTCGACACCCAATCCTTCTACCACAGCCAGGAGGTAAACCTTCTGCTCGACTCCCCATTCGTCTGCCGCGCCTGGCGTGAAGCCATCGACCGGAACCAGAACACGGCGTACTACGGCGGTGTCAGTCCCGATGACGGCTGCTGGCACGATCCAACGACGAATGATATCCCCGTGGGGTCGATTGGCGTTGACCCGGGGCACTTTAGCTGGGCACGGGGTGCAGTAGGAGCGGTGCAGAGAGTGAGAGGGGCGGGTGGTTTCTAGTATAGTATTCTTGCATGGTCTTTTGGATGAGTTTTATCATTGTTTAGTAGCGATGTGTTAGACATGTACGAGTTTGGCATATTTTATAGCATGTTTCAATAGTCATGCAGTTGGATGAATGCCGTACCTCTACCAAACTTTATCCTAATCAGTACTTATCAACAACCACAAACCATCCAAGATGGACGAGCCTAAGCAACAGCAAGAATAAACCAATGCCGCCCCCATCAGCGAAATAACGATCTACGCCCATCACCAAAAATCCCACCCTTCACACGCAGCCCGAATCGCCCTCCTCGACGCCCTCTCCTGCGCCGTCGAAACAACCCCCAAATCTCCCTCCGCACGAGCCCTCCTTGGCCCCATCATCTCCGGCACCACTGTTCCCCACGGATTCCCAGTCCCTGGTACCTCACATGCCGTAACCCAGTAAAGGGCACATTCGACGTAGGCCTCTTAATTTGATACCTGGACCGCAACGATGCGAGTCGGGATGAGAAGGGTGGGTTTCGGATTGAGGACAAGAAATTGATGAGGGGTTAATTGGAGGTTGGCAAGAGAAGTATTGCTGCTGGGGTGGTGGTGAGGTTTGAAGGATGGGTGTGTATTGGAGGAGGTGCTAGTGGAGTTTACGGTTGGGCATGTGAGGAATTCGAGGATGGCGGAGGAGATCAGGAGGAAGTTTGTGAGGAATATGCGGTTGGTGCTTACAGAGATTATTGGGAGGATAATGGAGGTGATATAAAGGGATGATGGCAGGGTTTGTGAATTGGTGGATCTGCTTGCGAGGTCAGAGACCGGCATTGGCATGTCTATGAGTTAAGAGCTCAGAAGTGAGGAAGAGTAAATGGTATTAGATTGGTTCCGGCCCTCGTTAGATTAGTGGTATATCAATGTTGCGGCACACAAGATGGCATGGCTACTCCCTGTAACGTCAAGTATACATCTGTTCCCCATCCCCACAAGCTCTGCACCGCAATGCTCCCTCCAAAATACTCTGCATATGCCCGACTCAGCGGCAGCCCATACCCCAGTCCGGCGATGCTGCTCAAATGCCCCCCACTCCCGGCTATCGTGTTTAGCGCGTCCATGCTGCCATTCTCCGACCCGTTCATACCATAGTCAGAGAACGTAGTGAAGCTGTATGACCAGATATTCGGCAGCACTTCCGGAGGGATACCTCCTCCCCGATCTCGGATGCGGATCGTAATGCTCTGCTGCGACGGCGACCAGCACTTGATCGACTCGTTCGCATCTGCTGTCCCCACCACCGTGTCCATGTGAAATCCAGTGTCCGAATCGGAATGACTCCACTTCTCCTTCGCCTTCGGGTCATGTACCGGACTGGCAGGAACATCAGGTGCCGCAGCAATAGTTACCTCAATGGGTTCGCTCCCATTCCCAGACTCAATAACCGCCCGGAAAGCATTCTTCAGCAGCTCTGTAAGAATATACTCCACGTGGACCGGCACATGCGCGAAAGAAGCGTCTGGCTGTCCGCCAATATTCAATCGCGGTCGAACCCCATACTTGAGCTCGCAGATCTCACCCACGAAATCCTCGCACGATTTGACTATGCGGGCGGGTTGCAGCGCGGTATCGATGACTCCGATATAGTTTGATGGCGCAGCATCCTTGGGTGGTTCTTGTTGTTCAGCGGGATCATCACGGACAGGCTGCGAGGCAAAGTGCAGTGCCAAGTGTTGCTCTGCTATCAGCCGCGTGCCGATTCTGGCGCGCAGGTGTGTATCCAGGAACCGTGTTACCTCAGTGGGATCGATATATCGGCGACATTCAAGAAAGCCGCGGGCAAGAATAGGAATGGTGTTCGTATGTGTATGCACAAGATCGGCAAGTACCTCTGCGAATTGATTCTCCTCCTCTAGCGTCGTAACCTGACGTTGTTGATATGGTAGGAGAGTCGAGAGGGAGTGTAGGTAATTATTGTAGATCTTGGATACATGCGGATTCGAAACGACGATAAACGGGAGGTTACGGAGAGCCTCGATGCGAGACGCTAGTCGGGCTGGAAGGAGGGAGAGCGTGAAGTTGGCCGAAGCCAGGAGGGCAACTTTGCACAGGGGCGGGCGGCCATGTCTATCAAATTAAACAGTTATTCCTATATCAACTAACAAAGTTCATCGCATGCTGCATACTTGAGCAGATCTGCAAGAGTCAATGGGCGGCGACGACTGGCGGCGAGACGTGCAACTTCATCATTGGCGCCGTAGGCAAACGCGTGCCGTGGGGATGTAGTAGTCTGCACAAAAGGTGACGAAGAAAAGGACCTTGCTGGAAAGGTTGAGAAACAATGATATCGAAGGCTAGCACCCCGAGACGCAGTCTGCAGGGCTCGTCTTACCGCCATCGTAGAAGTTGGCCATCGCGACTTGCGAGACAGCAGTCGATGACCTCACAAGCCGGACTCCGTAGGGAATCCGTCTCACGTGCTGCCGCAGGCTCGCCAGTTGACTCACCCCTACAGCCACAGCCTGGGAGTATACGCCGAAAGTAAAAAATGAAAAAGTAATCATATGCGATTCGACGTAGATATCTGCACGCACCCTCTAGCCACATTAAGAATTACTCCGTAACCCCTGTCCTCACAGACATCATCGATCCTGCACTGCACCCAAAGTGGTGCACTGGTTGGTCCCTCCGGACCCCTCGGTCCCCTTATCAGGGCGTGAGATCGACCCCCGCAGGTGCCTAACTCTCACCACTTACTAGTAGCCGCAGAGTATAAATAAACGGTCCCCTGTCCCATCGGGCAACTCATCTTACACCTTTCGTCAACATTTTCAGATCCAAAGTCTTCAGATTTCTTTCCCACTCAAGAACTACTTCTCTTCGTCAGAACAAGAATTTCGCCAACATGCCTCACCAATACATCGTTCGTTTGTCGGATGTTGTTCCTGCCCCTGGGTAAATGCTAACGATTTTCATTTTTAGGTCAGCCTCAACAAGGAGTCTCCCCCTGAGGAGCTTGAGAAGTGAGTCTTACCACGCTTCACTCATGCAAAGATTAGCTCTAATATTTGTATGTGATCAGGGCCAAGAAGACTGCCACCGACAACGGAGGCAAGATCGTGAAGGAATTTGCGCTGGTCAAGGGATTCGTGTATGTACCCTCTCCGCTGTCACGCAGCTTTTCGTATTCCTCAACTAATTCTTGATAATTTAGTGTCCAATACGATGATGAGCAAGTCTCTACCCTCGAGTCCTCCGACCACATCCACGTCGAGAAAGACAGCGAAGTCTCAATCCAGTAAACAGTGAACCAAAGGTATCAGAGTGGACTGGTCCGGCCATATGAATACTTTGCGGGAGCTTAGATAACTTCTATCTTAATTTTTATATTCCATGTATGAATTATGATATGACTTGCATAAAGAATTCTTATATTGTATCCAAGACCAATAAGTACGAGTGATCGGTAAAGACTGCAGGAGCGCGAAATCTGAGCTCTTGATATGGAGCTCTACGTACTGTGCCTTTACTGTTGATGTTACACAGTCCACCCCTCAAAAGTCTTACTTCTCATTAACTATGGATGACTGCAACTGGCAATGCCGGATTCGGATTGAATTGCATTGTCCATCCTGTGATTCCCTGCCGCAATGACGCACCTGATGACGTTATCCCGCGAGGGGCAGTCACGTGTTGTATAGTTATCAACAGCCTGTGCATGACGTTCACTGAAGATCTTCCGAGATATCTATGGAGAAAATAGTAAAGATCTAATCTTCTATAGATCATATGATATTTTATTCCACTGCATATTATGCGGTCATATATCCTTCAAGAACCCCACCTCAATCACCTTCTCAGCTCCCAGTCCCAACGAAGCTATTTTCGCCCGCGTATTGTCCCGAATCCATAGGAAGATCTCCAGCACAAATCGTCGGAAGATGTTTGTACCCCTTTTAACTCTCATCTGCTCCTTGCCAGTGATGTAGAGTACGTTATGTGCACAGGCCTTCTCCAGCAGTGCCACTGGATCGATCTGTTTCCCTCGGCTGGTGATGGTCCGGGACTCTTCAGCACTCGTCGTATCTTGGCCTATGTCCCGACTGAACTGGCTAATGCTTGTCCTCGCTTCAGTTGGTGTAGTAGTGAATTTGTTTTCAATTAAGTATTTGCGGACTTGATCAGTGATGGTGCTAGCGAGATCCGGAGAGATGATCTCGTCATTGTAGCCGTAGCGGACAACCAGACGGTAGCAATTCGGAATCGCAAGTTTTGAAACAGTGTAGCGGTCATCGATAGGGACTGACGGAGTTTCGAGCGGCCGCAGATGGAAGAAGATGATCGTCTCAAACACTGTGGTGAGTTTTAGGATAAATTGGCTAAAGACAATGGGCGTGGTCTCTCCAGCTTTGTCGAAGAATATCCCTACGCCCTGAGTGGTGCTCAAAGGTGCACCGTCGAACCTATCTGTAAGGCGAATGCTACCGTCCTGATCCTTGGTCACAAAGTGCGAAGTGGGGAAGCGATCTTCTGCTTCAGCGAACCATTGCTGCTCCTTTCCGAATCGCCAGAGGAGGAAGAGCAAGGCAAGAACAGTCGCTACGGCGAGAGTGAACCATGCACCAGTTGGGACTTTTGTTAGCGCCGATGAAAGGTATGCTCCGTCAAAGCAAGCAATTATGAGCCAGGGCAGGAACACAAGGTAAGGACTCTTGCGCCATACGAACATTGCTACCATTGCAACCATGCAAGTGTCAAAGAAGGTCACAAAGATGACACACACTCCGTATGCATTCCCAAGAGATGTAGTCTGCACTTAATTAGCGAACTTCCAGGGGCACAAACCATTTTGACATACGTTGTTATAGATGGATGCCACAAGTATTGTCCCGATCATCAATAGCCAGTTCGCAAGAGGTATATAAAGCTGACCATGGAATATATCGGATGTATGAACCACCTTAAATTGCGGAAGGTATGAGAGCTTCATCACTTGTGCTAGGAGCTAAACAGGGTTAGACTGATCATTTCATACAGGTGGACTATATACCTGGAATGTGGCGGTGATAATTGCTTGCGATGCAACAATAGCTGCTAGAATAGCAATTACAAGCGCAGGATATATGGTGCCTGGAGGAGCTGCGTTATAGAATGGGTTCGAGTATGCCTCTGGATGCACACTGATGTATGCAGCCTGCCCGATGTACGCCAGAAGCAGGCAAGGAAATGTGTAGCATAGCCAACTTATCTGGATAGCCCGACGACTAAAAGCACCAAGGTCGGCAAATAGAGCTTCGACTCCGGTGAAGGCAAGTAAAGTACCACTGAGCATCCTCCATCCTGATTCTCCATGTCGAATCAGAAATTCGAAAGCGTAGCCGGGGTTGAAAGCGACAAAAACTCCGGCATCGTATTTAGCAAGATTATAGATTCCGAATGCAGCATTGAAACCAAGCCAAATGATGACGATTGGGGCAAAGGCGAACGTAACCCGCGTGATACCAAGTGGCTGTAGCAAGAACAAGATGACCAGGATAGCATCCGTGACGCCAATAACAGTACCTTTGGAAATGTTCGGAGAAACAACTTCAATTCCCTGGACGGCACCTAGCACAGATTGAGCGGGAGTGAGTAGGCCATCTGCAAGAACCATTGTAACGGCCAGTACTCCTACAACTTTTAGTAGGCGCTTCGCGAACTTGCTTGTTTCCAGCCTGTGTCGAGCAAGTCTGCTGGAGCGCTCGAGATCAATCGACAAGTGTCTCTTCATCTGCACAAGGGATGCCTCTCGAGGATCTCGATGAGTTATATTCATCTAAGCTGGTCAGTTTCATCCTGCACAGAGAAAAGTGCGTCTTACATAACGACTGAGCAGAGAATATGTACTGAATGTACCACCCTCTCCATCATTATCCGCGTGAAGGATTATGAAGATGTATTTCACGGTCACCATAATAGTAATACTCCAAATAATAATGGAAAGTACTCCGATAAGATCTTGGCGTGAAGGCGGTTCAGTGAATGTAGACGAATAGACATAAAGCGGGCTGGTTCCAATATCTCCGTAGATGACACCGATCGACTGGTATGCGAGCCAAAGAAGCATTTTCCCGGAGAAATCCTGCTAGTATCAGCTTGCGTGCTTATGTACGCTGGAAAATATGTCAATCCGTACCTGCTTTTGCTTGAAGTCTGTAGGTCTGCGCAAGCCTGGGTCATCATCCTCGCCGATAGTACTCACTGTACTAATGGCGCGATCCAAGTGATTGTTATTCCATGGGCGGATATTGTAGATAGATTCTTGTGTCTGCTGGGACTTTTCTTCCACCGTCGTCTGTCTTGGCAGCTCCTTCATGATCTCTAGGTCAGGATCCATTGGCATGTGAGGTCTAAGACAGACTCGTGGGAGCACTGGCAGCTAGCTTGCTCAAAAGTCAGGTCACGTCAGCGAGAGAGGTATTAGATGGCGCAGAGCTATGTGCGATTCGCTTTTGTAGCAGTCACACAGTAGTATTGTAATATTTATATTAAAAGTTCAGGCAGCAAGAACGACAGATAAGCGTCAGCGTTCGAGCAGGTGTCCATCCCGCATGCTCTTCCCACCACAATGGGGGCACACACATCACAGCCATTGTATACGAGCCATCGAACGCCATATGGCTATATCCTTATCTCGAAGATAATGAGTATTGGATGGTATCCTATGAATGTTTTAGATAATGCACAGATAGCCACAGATAAAAGCTACGGGCACCTTGAGAGGGATTTTTCTGATCCAACCTCTTGAGTTCGGCCCAGAGAGTGCGGCATTTGTTCGCACCAATAGTTGCTCAGTGCATTCATAGTACATTCAATGCAACCCGCACCACATGGCGCTGATCATTCCCTCCGATTCGCTGGTGCTGGGGTGTCAAAAGGAATAAGAATATGATGCGGAAGTCTGGACCAAATCTGGTGTTTCTTGGGGGTGGTGACTTTAGCTCACATGATCGTCGCTGTTTCATCCTAAGCAACAGCCGCATCCAGATATAGTATTTCCCCTGTTATGAAGCTCAAAGCAGATTTAGGCTAGCGTTGATGTGTGCGTGTAGTTACAATACAGGTTTTTCATCTCGCTCCTTGCTATCGAAATAAGTGCAGTACAAGTTAATGGGACGTTCCCATCAAGGAATCAGAGCATCTTCATCACTGACGGGCAAATTGTATAGACGTACTCCCTAAGAATAGTACAAAATTATACTAAACCGGAGACAGAGAAGGATCCGGCGAGATTGTCCAGGGGAATAGCCTCTAGCAGGCAACCCCAACGTATGCAAACCTAAACCGTAGACAAGACAGATACCTAACATACTTATAGTTTACCCTACGCAAGCGCTCATGATAGAGGTTTTCGCGGAGCATTCACAACAGTCAAGTCCCATCTTTGTGGTATTGTCTTATCATGAGGTCTGGTAATCCCGAAGAAAAAAAGAATAAAAAAAAAAAAAAAGCCATTATGATCTGGACGCTCACCTAATAAGTAGTCAGGTACTGGCCAGCTTATTCCCAGTCACGCCTGTGATGTTGTTCTAAGCATCTATCATGATATTGGGTGCTCCACTATCACCATGGATGAAGACGCCTGATTGACTCTAAGTGATGGACTGCTTTAGGCATAGCTACCTAGTAAACCCCTTGTTACCTCAAAACTGAGTTTCCTTGGTTGACAACTAAGTTGGTCTCGGTAAAATGGTATTATAATGCTACATGAACGAAATATTAAGTTGCCTTTACTAGCCACACGCCTTGACGTGATAAGCAATCGTTCTTATATATTGTAAATCATACATTATACTGATGTTGTGACAGTGATCCCCTACAATTATAGCCCAACATAACCAGATTCGTCATTCTCCCTCTGTGGCATCTTCATGCCGTGCATACCAACATACCGGGGGCTTTGAGGCTCCTTCCATCCCTCCAATACCGTGGAATCTGCCAACTTGTACACTTCCACGCCGAGTGGACGTGTAGTTGCCCCCATATCCGCCTTCTCCTCCCAGCCCCAGTTCGACAGATCGCCTACAGTCACGATTTAGTATATAGTTTACATAACTGCGGGATAATGCTCACCTCCAGGACATGCCGACAGCGCACAGAGTACATCGACCTCAGCGAAAAATTCAAAGTACTCTCCTGGCTTTGCAGGCGATGTTTCCATAAAGTACTTTCCATCCTCATCGAGTCCGGTCACTTGAAAGACATTAAGCACGTCATGCACGTCGAGCTCTGTCAAGCCATACGGAACAACCGCGCGCGTCAGGTTTGAATGGCAATGGAAGTCGAAGCTTTCTCCACCCATCACCAGATTCACATAAGGATCACAACGGGTACCAAGTAGGTCGTGCACGCGCCCTCCGAACTGCGTTGTGCCGAAGCCTTTTCCCTCTTTTCGTTTGCCATCCTCATCCAAAACTTCGTGAAGTTGCCCACCTGCTAGCGAATCACCTGTAATGGTGATTAGGGGGCGCAAGTATGGCAGGTTTGACCACAGGCGGTCACCAACCGAGACATGGGAAGCGTGGATCTGACGAGTGCGCGCTGCCCAGAGTCTTTCGCGTGGGTTGTTCGCATTCCAGATGTTGAGATCACCCACTTGAGGTCCCTTGGGCGTTGTGAGACGGCAGATGTGCCCAGCTGGTACTACCCAAGCTTGGCCTGAGCATGGACGGATAGTGAAGGACGACTCCAGAGTTCGTTTGGACTCAGAAGCTGTTTCCGAGATGCTTCGGTACAGCTTTGAGGTAGCATGAACTCCAGAATCAGTGGGAGCTGTATAAGCTGGAGGGGGACGACGCGGAGCAGCCATTGTGGATCTATCTGGTTGAAGCAGTAGTCAAAGGAACTATACTTAGCGGTTCGGGATGAGCAGTGTACACGGCCAATGCGAGAGGGTTGTACTTCTTAACCTACGCCAGCGGCAGTGAACCTACGCTTTAATAGTACGCGACTACCTCGGGATGCCAGCCGATGATCGCAGCGTTCCTTATCGTATTCTGCCCCATATAGCCCCGCTTTGGGGTCCCAGTTGGGGTCCTCTGATGGCCATCGCGACGTATTGACACCGGGCCGATATGAAGGGGTTGAGCCCTTATCGAATCGACCGGGCCGGACGATAACTTGATAGCAGGCTGATCTTATTAGTAATTTCGCTGCCTGGGGCAGCCATGTTCCTGTTCCGCCTTTTGCCCCCAATTTCTCCGGCGGGAAGATCTCGGCTCGGAAAAAGACCCCTCCGACGAAAGAAAATGGAAATAATAATTTTGGTCCGAGCTACAGGACAACGGAAGCAGCTCGCCGACTGCTCGACTTTTTGGTGAAAGCTTTTTTCTTTTCACGAGCCGGGGAGAGTTTTCTTGAGGGGTCTGCAGACCTCGTTGTTTTCAAGATGGAGGAGCAATCCAACAGGGCGCATCGCCCTGCTAAAGAGAAAAAGAAGTACGACGGTATGTAGTACTTCAAAGTCGAATCGCCGCTTCTCATGAAAAATAGTCAACTAACGTATCTTTCGCAACTCAGGCCCGAATCCGAAGGCTTTCGCGTTCTCGAATCCTGGCAAATCGAACAAAGCCGGTGCGAGATCTCACGATGTATGCGCTACCACCCTCTTCATAACTCCGTACGCAACGGTCACTGATGCTCATTCTGCCGCATAGATCAAAGAGAAGAGACTCCATGTGCCTCTTGTTGATCGCCTTCCTGAGGAGGCTCCGCCGCTCGTGGTGGCCATTGTTGGCCCACCGGGGGTACGTATCCTTGTCAATGATGCCATTGTCAGGGTTGCAACATGCTAATGCCTTCGCTGCTTATAGGTTGGGAAAACGACACTTATCAAGTCCTTGATCCGTCGATACACAAAACAGACCCTCAGTACCCCTAAGGGACCGTTGACTGTTGTGACCTCCAAACGGCGCCGCCTTACCTTCCTCGAATGCCCCTCCGACTCCCTCGCCAGCATGGTCGATGTGGCCAAGATCGCGGATATTGTGCTTCTGATGATCGACGGAAATTATGGCTTCGAGATGGAGACTATGGAATTCTTGAACGTCCTGGGCTCTCACGGTATGCCCGGAAATGTTTTCGGTATCCTGACCCACTTGGACCTTTTCAAGAAGCAGAGCACCCTGCGTGCTGCCAAGAAACGCCTGAAGCACCGCTTCTGGAGCGAGCTGTACAATGGTGCCAAGCTTTTCTACCTTTCCGGAGTTGTCAATGGCCGTTACCCCGACCGTGAAGTGCACAATTTGTCCCGCTTCTTGTCTGTCATGAAGAACCCGAGACCGCTCATTTGGCGCAACTCCCACCCTTACGCCCTCGCAGATCGATTCCTCGACATCACGCCACCTACTCAAATCGAAGAGAACCCGAAATGTGATCGGACAATAGCGCTTTATGGATACCTAAGAGGCACCAATTTCCCTGCTTCTGGTGCGCGAGTGCATGTCCCAGGTGTGGGTGACTTGACTGTCTCTGGTATCGAGTCTCTCCCGGATCCATGCCCAACACCCTACATGGATCAGCAGTTGGCCAAAGCCACCGGCAAAAATAGCAAGCGCAGGCTGGGAGAGAAGCAGAAGTTGCTTTTTGCCCCCATGTCCGACGTTGGTGGTGTCTTAGTCGATAAGGATGCTGTTTATATCGATGTGAAGACCTCGAACTTTGATCGCGGCGATGAATCCGACGATGAGGAGCGTGGCTTGGGAGAGCAGTTGGTCGTTGGTCTTCAAGGAGAGCGCAAGCTTCTGGGAGAGGCAGACAGTGGTGTCCGTTTGTTCCGTGGCGGTGGTGCCATTGGAAAAGCAGATGACGAGGATGAAGCTGTTGGCAGAAAGCACAAGAGGAACGTTCGATTCTTGGATGGCGAACAGGACAATCATGATGCGGCGGACGATGATGAAGGCTTTGAAAGCGATGAGGGTGAAGAGGATGAGGAGGACGAGGAGGACATGGAGCACGATGAGGAAGAGGACCTGAGCGGCGATGAGGAAGAGGTTGACGCTTCCGCGCCGCCAGATTTCGAGGCCAATTTCAAGGAAAGGCAAAACGGCAATTCTCGCCAGAAAGAGGACGACATCGCTTTTGCCGACAGTGACTCCGACCTTGGTTCCATCTCGTCAGTAGAGGACCAGGTCCTCGATAGCGACGAGGACGAGGAAGACGAGGAAGACGACGGTGAAGTCCGTTGGAAGGACAATATGCTTGCCAATGCCAAGGCCCTCCATTCAAAGCGCCCTAAGTACCGTGTCCCTGACTTGTCGCGCATGCTTTACGATGAAACCATCACACCTGCAGATGTGATACGCCGATGGAGTGGCAAGGAGGAGGGGGACGAAGACGACGATGAAGAACCTGAAGAGGACGACGATGCCTTTTTCAGGAAGACAAACGTGGAGGAGGAAGAAGCTGCGGAGTACCGTGCTGTTCCTGAGTACGACTACGCCAAGCTGGAAGCCAAATGGCAAGATGCAGATATGATTGAATCTTTGCGGCAACGCTTCGTCAGCGCCAAACTGTCTGGCGGCGACGATGATGATTCGGATGTTGATGATGCCTTTGATGAGGATGACGAGGGTGACGGAGAGTTTGAAGATTTGGAGACCGGCGAAGCTTTCGACGGGTTTTCTGACGAAGAAGGCGCCGAGGACGATGAAGCTGCAGATGCCGAAGGTCCCGTCGACTTGGATGCGGAGCGAGAACGTAATGCGAAGAAGAAGGAAGAATTGAGACTGCGCTTTGAGGAAGAAGACCGGGAAGGATTCGCTAACTCCAAGGACAACTCCCGGCAGGCCGGTGGTGGTGGAGAAGAGGAATTCGGAGAGGACGAGTGGTATGATATGCAGAAGGCCAAGCTCCAGAAGCAGATCGACATCAACCGTGCTGAATTCGATATGCTTGACCCGGCCTCGAGGGCTCGGGCCGAAGGTTTCAAGGCTGGTACTTATGCACGTATTGTGCTCGAGAACGTTCCTTGCGAGTTCGCAACCAAGTTCAACCCCCGCTTCCCCGTGATTGTGGGTGGACTGGCCCCAACTGAAGACAGATTCGGTTATGTGCAGATCCGCATCAAGAGGCATCGTTGGCATAAGAAGATCTTGAAGAGCAACGACCCTCTCATCTTCTCTCTCGGTTGGCGCCGCTTCCAGTCTCTGCCGATATACAGCACTTCAGACAGTCGGACCCGTAACCGCATGCTCAAGTACACTCCCGAACACATGCACTGCTTTGGTACCTTCTATGGACCTCTCGTCGCACCTAACACCGGTTTCTGCTGCCTGCAATCATTCTCAAACAAGACCCCGGGATTCCGCATCGCCGCTACAGGTGTCGTACTGAGCGTCGACGAGCATACGGAGATCGTCAAGAAGCTCAAGCTGACCGGTGTACCCTACAAGATCTTCAAGAACACTGCCTTCATCAAGGACATGTTCAACTCGTCTATCGAGATCGCCAAGTTCGAAGGGGCTTCCATCCGGACTGTATCTGGTATCCGTGGTCAAATCAAGCGTGCTCTCAGCAAGCCCGAGGGTTACTTCCGTGCTACCTTCGAGGACAAGATTCTCATGAGTGATATTGTCTTCCTTCGCGCCTGGTATCCGATCAAGCCTCATCGCTTCTACAACCCTGTCACCAACTTGCTGGATCTGGACGAGGAAAGCGTCGGTGACAACGGCTGGAAGGCAATGCGTCTCACTGGTGAAGTCCGTCGTGAAAAGGGAATCCCTACCCCCATGAACAAGGACTCGGCTTACCACGCCATTGAGCGCCCCGAGCGTCACTTCAACCCTCTTCGGGTGCCACGCCAGCTGGCGGCTGACCTTCCCTTCAAGTCTCAAATTACGAAGACGAAGGGCCGGAAGGACAAGACCTACATGCAGAAGCGTGCTGTGGTCCTGGGCGGTGAAGAGAAGAAGGCACGGGATCTCATGCAGAAGCTTAATACCATGCGCAATGAGAAGCAGGCCAAGCGCGCGGCCAAGCAAGAGGAGCGGCGCCAGGTGTATCGGGCGAAGGTTGCGGAGGGTCTGGAAAAGAAGGCCGAGCGGGAGAAGAGAGAACGGGATGAATACTGGCGCCGAGAAGGTAAGAAGCGCAAGAACCAAGACAGTGAAGGTGGCGGGGGTAAGAAGCGCAAGTAAGGCAACGCTTCCTGCAACGGCATGTTTTTGGGATCTCTACCGGTTGTTAAAAGTTTACTGTGAATATGGTCGATGTGTATCTATCTACATGTTGCATGGGGGATGGCGTTGAATCTTACCCGACTATAGTGTCGGACTTCTTATTTCTCTTATTGGATTGTTGTTTTATGTGGATATATTGATGCTCTATACCAGGAATAGACTGAGTTGGTGTTGATTTTTGCATATCTGTGTGTGCCTGAAATAGGTGCCTGAACCTTGCGGCGGAAGTAACCCCACGTGACCGCGCCGCGCAACGCGCCTCGTCTCGTCGCTCGTTGCTGCGCTGGTCCTGGAAGATCTTCCCCCTGTTGCCCTGCGCCCACCAGCGCAGTGAACGCTAGCTCAGCATTCAATTTGTTTCCCATGTAGGCGGACTCTCGTCTTCATATGGCATCCCTCCTTATCCTTCCATCGCGCCCCTCAAGCCGACCCAGCAGGCATCGGGATTGACGTGCGGAGACCAGCAACGTGCTTTGCTAGTACTTAGTCCCGCCTTGCACGTGTGGATTCCTCGAACGCCATCCCTTGCAGCAAACAGCTTTTCAGGCACCTTGTCTCAGTGGACTTGGTGCTCCTGACAGCTCCGCTCCGGACCTTCCCGTGCCCAACGACGTCGGAAGCGGGCGGTGATCTGCCTCTATCTGACGCTAGACGCCAGGCCGTTTGAGGGCCGTGGTGGTTGTTTACCCTCTGCCTCCTCTGGTGCCGTCGGAGGAATGTGCAAACGCCACACCCGAGCGCTTATTGGGATATCTCAGAAGACCTGCAGTGTCAGGTTTCCGCCGCTCATTTAATCAGTATGAGTGGATCGTCGCGGTTAGACGGACGCCCACATGTGCAGAACCCCCAACCACAATTTGCGTCGCGGAACATTGCAGAAGCTGCCGGACACGACAGCCGCCATCATGGCACCATAGATCATAGAGACAGTCGTGTTGGCGTATCGCCACCTAAACCGGAGCCGTCCATGGCGGTAAACATAACATCAGAGTCACCGTCGGATCAGTCGGCATCTAACACCAATAGACATATCCCACATTCTTCGCTCTCGACGGTTCTGGCGCCTGTAACGCAAGTAAGGCACTCTGAATCGAAAACGCAAGAGAAAATTGGCCACCTCCAACCCTTGTCAGAACCCGCGGGGACGATTATACACACATCTACTGTTGGGGAACAGACTATGTCTGAGCCATTGGCGTCCACTATTCGGAAGAGCCATAGTCCATCCATGACAGCACCTGGGGGCCCATCCAAATACAACGCCCCATCAAAAAGGACTGCGGCTGGAATTTCCAAACACCTTGTCGATGCCCCAGGAGCGGACAACACTTCCGAAGTAGACAGCCCCGATCGACGCCGCTCCCATAGTATTGGCTCCCTATCGCGTGAGAGCAGGATTGCAGCGGTAAGGCTCGTCCCTTACATCAGTTTCTGGGGCCATGTATGTGAAATTCTGATTTCAAACTAGTTGTCCGTCCACCTTCGAACGCGGTTATCGTATGCTGCTGCCAAAGTTGAGAAGAGTAGGAAACTCCATGGCGTCCAGGCTCATTCCCTATCGCCTAGTACAGAATCTCTCGCTAAAGCTGGGCTTTTGCCCGCCTTCAGCGAGTTAGAGGCTCAGCGTTCGGTAGAAAATAGCTCACCAGATGGAACCATTATGTCTGCGCCGGATCCGCCTTCAACAACCAGCGTCTACACTCCGAGCGGCCCTGGGCGGCTATCTCCTGTGGCCCAGTCCGCCGATGCGTCGCCATCCTCCTTACACCTCGACTTGCCAAAATCTCATCCTCGTCCAAAACTCGCACCCCCTGCAGACATTGCAAGTGGAAGCCGTAGTCGCCGTCGACGTCCCAACCCCAACGAGGCGTTGCACCTGCCGAAGTTTCCTGCCTCGCTGCATCGCAGACATCATTCTCACCAAGAGGTCGGTGCGTCCGGGCCAGCTGCGAGTTCAGAAAAGGTGCAGGTCCCTGGGACTCCTCCTCTTGGCCCAATGCGTCAGGCTTCCTATAACGGTACAGGGGGTCATCAAAACCATAATCGAAATAGTGCTATGGAACAGGACGCTATTGAAACCCTGCTTTTCATGTCCAGCCCTGGGCATTCGGGTTATCACTCCGGCTCCCAGCATTCCCAACGTCAGCGAAACTTTTTCCAGAGCAGCAGCGATTCTAGAAGCTCTGGCGGCCGGGTGCCCCGTAGTCAGGACTCACAAGTCAGTAATTCCCGTGGTCAGCCTATGCCAGCCTCAAGTGGTCGAGTGATCGGTCTTGAATCGCACGCTGGGGACGAGATCGACCGGATGCTGGATCAAATGGACAGTGATAGCGATGACGAAGTCAAGTTTGCTTCGACACAGTCCAGCTTTACGGACCGTGGCTCAAAGCAAGCTGACAGCTCTCAGGAGCATTACCGACGAGGTAGATGAGGAAGCATTCGGGCACAACCTGTGGCCTTCGGGCCTGTTTTCTGTCTAAGTTCACATGGACGGCGAAAGATGCTTTCAGAGACCTCGACAAGCCATGGACAACATTTGCCATGGTCTGCATCTACTCTTTGGTTCCAACGACTTGAAGAATCGCTATGGGAGCGGGACCAATTCGAGATAGGTATCCGATCCAAGCCAGCTCTGCACTGCTCTTCCTCCCCTTGCGATTGGTATATCCTCAGACGAAAGGAACGCTACATTATGTTTCCACGGTCCACCAGTGCCATTCCCTGCTCCACACAGGTCATTATTCGGTCATGCCCGGATGAGCTCGCGTATGTGCCTTCTTTTCTATAACTGCCACAAGGGCTTCGCGAAATACGTAGATTTCCCGTGCGCATCGATTCTTATGCCCGCCAACTTGCGCCCGAAAACAATCTGCGCTTTTCCAAGCCCACTCTTTCACCAAGCCAAAGGAAATGGATGAGGCAATGCCTTCCGCATCCCCATCATCTCCTTTCGAGGCTGGCATCTATCTTCCTGGGGGCCATAACACCGACCCGCCGATGACATCCGACACGGACGGCTATCGATTGAATCACTTTATGCTCCGCATCAGGGATCCTCAGCGCACTCTGCATTTCTATATTGACCTCATGGGCATGCGCACTATTTTCACCATGAACGCCGGTCCGTTCACCATGTACTACCTCGGCTACCCACCCACCCCCAGCGACCGCGCCGATCTTTCTGCCTGGGCCTCCCGAGTCGCCAACGTCCGCGAACTTACCCAGACCATTGGGCTGCTGGAGTTTTACCATACTCATGGGACTGAAAAGGACGACGAGTTTAGAGTCTCTTCCGGGAACTCGCCTCCTAACTTGGGTTTTGGCCATCTAGGATTCACTGTCCCGGACGTTCCCGCGGCTGTCGAGCGCCTGAGGCGGGAAGGGGTACACGTGCTGAAAGATCTGGGGGATAGTTCGAGGGAGAGTGTTCCTCTCAGTACTTGGGAGGAGCATCGCGGCTTCGGAACGGGGGATCTACATCCAAAGTTCAAGGAAATTTACGATCAGATTGCGTGTGTGGCTGATCCGGTGGGCTGACCTGATCTGACAATCACAGTAACTTACTTATTGACGGTTTTTCAGGATGGATACATGGTTGAACTGGTTCCGCAGAACATGCAGGATCAGTGGGCACGATCTACTTGATTCCAATTGAAAATGAACCATGTGACTTTGAACTATCTACACTCACTCCCTTGAAGAATAACGGTCAGCCCTGAAAATCAAGCCACAAATTCCATTCCACAACAACTAAAATCTCCGCGGGACTTCCTACCCCGTTCCCCTCACAACAGTAAAAACTCACCAGCACGTCTCTCCACATTTTCAGTTCATGATGATAGTTTCCTTATATGTCAAATGAATCCGGCATCCTCCACTCATCGGGCAATCAATGCCTCCGAGACATACCGGTACATCACATGCTACCTTCATTCAGCTAGGGCTAAACAAGCCTCACACGCATCCTTCCCCCTCCCCCTCTCTCTGTCTACTAGCTAAGACCGCCCCGCCAACAAGTAAGAATCATTTCCTCCCTTCCCGCTAGTAATATCACTGATATTGATGCACAATGTAGCAGTAGCATCATCAGTAGTTCATGTTACACATCGCTTACTATCTAGACCAGATAGATACCAGAAATATCATTACAACTCCTGTCAGTGGCATTTTCCCTTCTGTTATGCATCGGCCCTTCCGTCCTCTTCCCCGCATATTTACTGTGGAGTCCCTTGCAGTATTCAGTCTAGGAGATTGTACTAGAGTAGTACAAGCGTACCACAGAAAAAATGATAGACAATGACAATCAATGCTAGGGTTCTCTATCCTGTGAGTGTATAGGGTGTATCTACTAGCTCTCTCTCTCACATACACATATTGTCTGGCATTCTCGTAGCAATGAATTATAGCATTCCACCATAGAATATGGAATGGAGTGTTAGGCATGTCTTTCTCTTCCTCTCTTTCTCCCTTTCTTGAGTATCATGAAAAGGGTAATAGAAGATCGCGTGGAAGGGAAACCAAAATGATATATATATATCACGTACTATCATACCCAGGGTGATTTTACATCACTCAGTCTCGCAGCTTTGTCTTCATACAGATTGATCAATCTCCAGCCCGCTCCAGTACTTCTGAGTATCGAGTCACAATGGTTCGCCTTGCCCGAGTCGCGCTACTTCTTGTCCCGCTACTTGGGACTTTTTCCCATGCAATTCAGGTATGGAGATGCATTCATCAAGCGATATAACCTACCATTATATGTAATCATATATATTTGATAGGGAGACAGAAAGAAAAGAGAGGGGACTTACACTAATGCCACCCCCTCCACAGGCCGAGGACTATCCCGAAAGCTGCACCAATCCCTGCGACGGCTTAATCCCAGACAGAAACATCACCAACCAAGAGCCCTTTCACTGCGACTACTGCATCTGCAAAAACAAATTGCTAGGATGGTCCAATATCCAGATACCTGCCAACTTCACCACCATGTTCGACGGTTGGCAAGCGCTGGGCGGCCAATGTCCTAAAGATTGGCTCTGCACCTGGGCAAACTGGGCCACTTATCAGTTCGACTCCACCAACAACAAATTGGTCTATGCTCCCAACAACGGCTTCAATGGCTGTCCTCAGACCGTGACTCTGCCCGTTGGCACCTTGGTGGACCGCTTTGGCACGGAAAATGGCAGTTATCTCGCCCCGGAGGGCACTCCGTACGCAGAGCGATCTATCGGGCCAGGCAGTCTGAACAAGTATAATAAAAGTACCGAGTTCAACTACTGGAAGTACATTGTGAGGCAGCCGTTTCAGGCGCAGGCTGGGTCGATTCTGCCGTGGGCCAGCCAGCCTGGGGGTGGCCAGCAGTATTATGTGAAAGGGGGGTTGGCCCCGTTGCGGGATGCCGGTAAGCTTGAGTTGATCGCGGCAGAGACTTATGAGGTTGATGAGGCTTGGGAAGCTGCTCAGGCGTTGGATGGAGATTATCCGCCTGAGGACGAGTAGATGGTATCGTGAAGGAGATTCGTGCTGCACGGGCTTGTTCCTTGTCTTTTGGTGGGGCTGGGGTGTGTCTAATGTTAGTGGAGGTTGAAGGACTGAGGTAGATGCTGTTAGGTAGAACAACTTCTATTAGTAGGGTTAGTTAATATAATCAAGTAGCTGACGGAATCGCGCACGTTTCATGTAATCTGGAGGTTGTAGTGTGAGACATAAACTCGTCGTATCACCGCGCCAACTTTCCAGTCGCTTCAGGTACTAGTATATATACTAGCAGCAGCCTCAGGCATGGGATTAAGTACAATACTATCAGAGACGAATCCTGGCTTAGACTAGATACATCGTACCCTTTCAAATGCCATCCATCGGAGCTTACCGATGCCGATACTCTTCGTGAACTGGCAGATGACTTGAAACACACCAGATAACCCCCTCTGACTCTGACTTAGAGGAGTAAATTATTGTAGTTTGGAACCTACTTCTTTTTCCTTTTGTTTCTGGTGGAGTGGGGCTGAATTCTAGAGAGGTGCGGCGACGATCTCCTACAACGGCATAACACCCAATCCTTATGCTGAGTATCAACTAGATGTAGTAGTTATATATATCTCCACCAGACATGTCAACAGCAGTTCAATAAAGCATCATCACCCATCAGTTACATTTGCAGTCACACATAACTATCGTACAAGCCTAAAGGCGGAGAAAAAGGAGCCAGGCACATACATACATATACATACCCAGCATAGTCTATCCACATCGAAGCGAATAGGGATCAAAGAAGAAGCACTGACGACTACTTTATGCAACAGGACAAGAAAGAAACCATTTTCCCATCCTCAGAAGACGCCATAAATATGAAGAAAGTGCAGACGTATCTATCTATCAATCCACCCCTCCATCATCCATCCATCCCATCATGAGCATAGATTTTCCACTCGAAAGCAGGCAGATCATAATCTACTCCACTCCCCAACTGTCATCCACCTCCGCAACATCGTAGTCCACATCATGCGGACCGTCCTTCCGTGCTCCGGTCTGCTCCGGCACCATGGATGGCCCCGTCGCGTTGTCCATCACCGTGTCCTCGTCTGACCCTGTCTTGTTGGTATCCGAGCCAGGGCCGGAGTTTGCGCCGCTAGCTGGAAGGGTGATCGGGGGGTTGGGGACCCAGGTGAGCTGGACTTGGCCTACCGAGGGGATGTCTCGGGGTCCAAACATGAACTTTTCGGCCAGGTAGCGTTCCTTGAAGGCCACGATGACTGAGTCGGGTTGGTCTGGGTTGGGCTCGATGGATTCGTATTCGCCGACGCCCTGGTATACTGGGTTAGCTTTCGAAGAAGGCGTAAACAGGGTAAGACTAAAGTGGGAAACTTACAATGAGGAATTGTCTCAAGGCCTCGTCCTTTTCGGAGTTGACCTCTACACCAGAGACAGCCACCCTACGGGGTCGGTTGTCGAGACGTAGAACACCACCTCTGCCGCGAGCAGCGCCACCGCGACCACGATATCCACCACGGAAGGACGGGTCGTAACCACGGCCTCGGGGCGGGAATCCACCACGGGCACCGAATCCTCTCCCGCGGCCGCGGTAGGAGTACGGTGCGCTTGCACCACCGTTGGGGTCAATACCAAGACTCTTCGCTTCAGCTTCAAGAGCGGCCAGCTGCGCACGAAGCTGTTGGGTCTGGTCACTGGCATTCTCCTGTGACACAGCCGCTTCGTCAGCCGGAGAGGCGCTGCCGTCACTGCCTTCTTTTCCACCAAGCTTTTGCATCAGACGAAGTTTCTCTTCCTGTTGCTTCTTCAGAAGCTCATCGCGCTGTCGCTCGAGGGCTTGTTTTGCTTCCTCAGTCTCCTTGCGCTTCTTTAACTTCTCCTCATGCGCCCGCTGGGCTTCCTCTTGCTGTCTCTCAAACTCTTCCCGGTTGAAGGCCGGGCCCTCGTTCATGGCGTCGCCAGCGGGAGACCGATGGTCACCATTCCGATCACCCTTGGGCTTATGCCAGTAGACTTTGACGAATCGGTTATCAAAGATCACCTTGGGACTAGACCACGCCCGCTTAGCAGCTGCGTGGCTATCGTAGGTAATCAAGGCCAGTCGCCGGTGTGGTTGGAGGGAGACCTCAGTGATCTCGCCATATTGTGAAAAGAACTCTCGGATCGAGGCTTCATCCATCTTATCATCAGGGATCTGCTCAACGACAATGGTTGTGATCGTCGTATCCTCGTTAGGCCCAGCAGAAGAGAATTCAGAGCGGCGTCCCCTGCCTCCAAAACCACCTCGGTCCCCACCACGGCCGCGGCCACGACCTCTGTCGCTGCCTCGCATAGGTGTATCCGTGCGCCTTTGGAAGTCGGTAATGAGATTGGAGGATTTGGGATCGTATTCTAGAACAATCCATCATTAGCAGGGGTCACCTAGCCACCAACGCCTGTGATGGTTTACTCACCATCTTCCTTGGAGGACCCTGGCATGGCATCGTGCTGATACGGACATGTAGCGCCAAGGTAGCAGATACCCTGGGTCTCATAGAACGGACACCGCTCCGAACTCTTGGGTCCCATCTTGTCCGGTTGCTGGCCGGCACCGGCACCCGGGGGTGGCATCGGCATCGGAGGCATACCCGGCATCTGAGGGAAACCCATGCTCTGTAGAGCCATCATCGCCGCCATCGGATCATTCTGGTCAAAGCCGGGGAACGCAGGAGGCATGACCGGGAATCCCGCTGCACCAGGATGGAATTGTCCCGGACCAGCCGGTCCTGCACGGCCGCCATCCCTACCCATCCAATCTCCACGACCACCGCCGCGTCCCCGGCGAGGGGTCTTGTATGTGCGATGGTGGGGTCCGTCGTCGCGCTCCTGATCCGCCTGGAATCCTTCGTGGTAGTTACGCTTGCGATTGAAGTTGGAGCCATCAGCTTGCGACTGTGGGATGCCGTATGGACCATTTGCTGGACCGGAGGGAGCTCCAAAGGTCTGTTGCTGTTCCGAAGCTGATCCTGCAGCACCATCATGGGACATTGCGGCGGTTTGGACGGGCTGCGGCTTGGGCGCAAACGTTGTGAAGAGTTCGTCGACAAACTGAACAGTGTCTATATATGCAAGAAAAGCCAGTGAGCCAACTGCGCCTTCTCTGCGCAAGCAAGTACCTCAACATGACTAACGTTCTCTCAGGAAGTCTTCCAGATTATCCACCGAAGCCTTCCGGATCTCCTCGTCCGGGGCATCTGTTCGGATAAGCGCCAGGACATAATCGGCAAGTACATCAGAGTCGGCATCCGATCTGAACCGGAGAGTTATTCGTTAGCTTGTGATACAGCGCAGGGAACGTCTCCAGAGGAACAGTCGCCGGCCACATGAGCCTTACATATCTTCCAGTTTCCTGACTACCCATTTCTTCACTTCCGTCGCTTGATCCTCGGTGAGCTGCATGTTGCCGCGCAAAGTCGAAACCGTGCCAGGCGACTGTTGCCGGAAAGGATTAGTTCCTTGAGGAGCTTGAAGATGCAGCAGGCGTTACTTGGCGGCGTCCGAAAAAAGATTGGGCCAGGGATCGAAAACAGCGTCGAGGATGCGGCCGATGAATTTAGTGACAGGAGGAAAGTTTGTCGGTGAGTTTGATCAGAGACTTGCGCAAATCATCGTGTGATGAAGAAAAGACGTGCGAAGAGATAGCAACAGAGCTTTGCGGACCAAAAAAGCCGGGGAAACGCGAGCGACGCGGATGACAGTTTCGCCACGTGACCTATGCTGGCCGAGCTGCCCAGTTGCCCTACCACATCACGTCACCACCGGTGCTACTCTTTCTCTTATCGTATCTACAAGCCAACTACGAGGCTGAGAGTGACAAAACACTGAAATGAACTTGAAAACCATCATATTTTTTTCATGTCCAATCGAGGGAATAGGAAAGGAGCTATGGAAAATCCCTCGCGGTCGTTAACGTAAAAATAAAGCCATCGCATATGCTCGTGCACAGCTCGATTCTACTTCTCTAAGCGGTCGAAAATCCACATACGACATTAAGCTGTTTTTTCTTTTATATCCTCCCCCTCAATATAGACAGGGTATTGCATTCGTCAATCTCATAAACAGAGGATTCCATCCATCACAAGGTCGAATTTTAGTCGGCTTGTATGGAAGGTTTTTACAGCTTGTCGTAGTACTGTTCACACATGTTAGCTTCAGATACTCTTTAATACAGCATCGAATATGGTTTTCAACTTACGTTCTCGTAGCCAGGAACCTGCTCCTTGAGACCCTTGCGCTTACGCATCTCAGCAACGATCTGACCAGGCTTGCTGGTGGTGTCAAGAGGAGATCCACCAGGAAGGACGGCCCAGTGGTCGAAGACAGACTGGGGGAAGGCCTGTCCACCGGTGGCCTGACGAAGCTCGCCGGGGAAACCGAAGGACTCGTTGACGGGCAGGTAGGCCTTGACGTTGAAGAGAGGAGTACCAGGGCGCTGCTCCTCGGTGTAGACGTGACCACGACGACGGGTAAGGACACCGTAGATACCACCCATGGCCTGCTCGGGGACCTGGATCTCGACGTTGAAGATGGGCTCCAGGATGCCGGGGTCGGCAAGCATGGTAGCAGCATACAGGACACGACGAGCAGTGGGGATGATCTGACCACCACCACGGTGAATAGCATCAGCGTGCAGAGTAACATCAAGGATGTTGAAGCGGATAGAGCGCATGGGCTCCTCAGCAATAGGACCCTCACGAGTAGCCCACTGGAAACCAGAGACGAAGGAATCCTTGATTTCGTTGAGGTACTGGACGGCCTTGGTCTGGTCAACCAGCAAGTTGGCACCGGTGGTGTCGGGACCGAAGCACCAAATCTTACGGGCATCGGTGACATCCCAGCCGTACTCGTCAGCAAGGAGACGGGCACGAGCCTTGAAATCGTCACGGGGGGTGATCTTGCCAGCCTCAATGGCCAGGGAGACCTCCTCGTCAAGGGGCTGGGCAGTGAGGTACAGACGGTTGTGCTTGTTGGGGGACTTGGACAGAGCAGTCATGCTGGAAGTGCCGCTGACGGTCTCACGGTAGGAGACGACAGGGTCGGAGATACGAAGGGGAACACCAGCGTGGTCCTCCTCGAGATCCTTCAGGCAAATTTCCAGGTGAAGCTCACCAGCACCGGCAACGACGTGCTCACCGGACTCGTTGATCATGGTCAGGACACAAGGGTCAGACTTGGACAGACGCTTGAGACCTTCGACCAGCTTGGGCAGATCCTGGGCGTTCTTGACCTCAACGGAACGCTGGACGACGGGGGAGACGGAGAACTTCATGACCTTCATGTTGTGGGCAGTCTCGGAGGTGGTGAGGGTACCAGACTTGAGCAGGAACTGGTCAACACCGACCAGACCGACGATGTTACCGGCGGGAACATCCTCAATGGGCTCGACAAAACGACCCATCATCAGGATAGTACGTTGGATGTTCTTGACGAACAGGTCCTCCTTCTTGCCAGGGACGTAGTTGGGACCCTGGATACGGACCTTAAGACCGGAGCGGACGGTACCGGAGTAGACACGACCGAAAGCGTAGAAACGACCCTTGTCGGAGGTGGGAACCATCTTGGAGACGTAAAGCATCAGAGGAGCCTTGGGGTCACAGTCGCGGATACCGACGGCGCAGTCGTCGTCGGAAGGACCCTCGTAGAGAGTCTCACCACGGTACTTCTGGGCAGTAACGGGGGAGGGAAGGTGGATACAGATCATCTCCAACATGGCATCAGCAGCGGGGAGGAACTTGCGCATGACAGCCTTGAGGAGCTGCTTGCCAGCAAGGTCCTTCTCGTCGTTGGAAAGCTTGACCTCAAGCTTCTCAAGGAGAGTGGGGATCTGGTCCTTCTTGTCGTTGTTGATGGTCTGGAAGATCTTGAAGATGGGGTCCAGAACGAACATGTTGAAGGCACGCTCGACGGGCTTGCCGTTGACCTCGGGCTGGGTCTTGGTCCACTTCTTGGTGGCGGGGTTGAAGTAGTTGTCACCCTATCACGGATGTTAGCTGCATTCAGATACTAGAAGGTTGATTGATGGTTCCATACCCAGAGACGCTCAAGCATCTTCTTGCGGTCAACACCGAACTTCTTGGCGAACTTGACGGCGAACTGGCGGACAGTGAAAGCCCAGCCGTGGAGACCGGAACCGAAGGCAACGGTACCCTTCTCGGCGTAGACCTGGACATCACCAAGAGCCTTGTCGAAGTAGGTGGCGATGATGACGTTGACGGACTCGATGGTACGAGAGAAGGACTGGTACAGGTCCTCCTTGGAGACCTGGAGTTCGAGCAGAGCACGGTCGACCTTGTTGATGATCAGGACGGGCTTGATACGCTCGGTCAGGGCCTGACGAAGGACAGTCTCGGTCTGGACACAGACACCGGAGACACAGTCGACGACGACCAGGGCACCGTCAGTGACACGCAGAGCAGCAGTGACCTCAGAGGAGAAATCAACGTGACCGGGGGAATCGATCAGGTTGATCAGGAACTCAGAGCCATCGACCTTCTGGGGGATCTCCTTGAGATCCTCCTCATCGGGGAACTTGGCGTAGAGGGAGATGGCAGTGGACTTGATGGTGATACCACGGTCCTGCTCATCGGGACGGGTGTCCATGTAACGACCCTCACCAGCCTTAGCAGCCGAGATAATACCGGCACGCTGGACCAGGGAGTCGGAAAGGGTGGACTTTCCGTGATCGACTATCGTTGCGAGTCAGCAAGATTCATTCAAGATACACCTGGCCATCCATGATGCCAAGCCTTGTAGTAAGTACATACCGTGAGCAATGACGGACATGTTACGGATGTTGGCCGGGCGGTCCATCAGGCCGCGGATCTATTTCCAGCATTAGTACACTTCCATCTTCATTCACTGATTGCTTTTCCCGATTCTGGGCCGGTGTTGCCCTCCTAGGTGTTGAGGAGCAGCCCGAGGCAGGTTGATGCGGGGAATATAGAACGGACCTCTTCGATAGTGAAGCTATAAAGAACATCGTTAGCACGTTATTCTATATTCCAGAGCAAGATACAGAGCCCTTGATCTCTCTATGCGATGGGATATCATAGCCATAGGGATTGACAGAGGGACTGCCCGGTGGTGTGTGTGTGGGTGAACGTACTTAACCATCTTGACTGATTTTTCTCGTCAACTGCCGTAGAGGCGGGGTTTCGTAAAAAAAGAAAATAAAAGGAAGAACGACACACAAAGGACCAAGATCGAGAGCTAGCTCGACCGAGGGATCAAATAGGACAGGAAAGGCCTATGTGCGCTGCTCCGGGGAAAGAGACAGAGATGGCTTCGCGGAGGAAGGTGAAGGAAGGAAAAAGAGAGAAGAGGGAGGGAAGAGGGCGGATGGAGAGGAAGAGGGGAAAAGAGGGAAGGAAAGCGAGAGGGCGGCGGGTGGGGACACTTTTTTTTGTGCTGGTGGGATTTTTTCCGATTTCAAATCTGGGATGTGCGTTTTTTCCTGTCGGGCCCCTCGTTTCCTTACCGTTTCACTGCTTAGCGTCGGTTACTTTGCTTACCCTCTATCTTTTCTTTTCAGTGCCCGACAGTCCTGGTTATCGTAATAATGATGGATCAAGGGAATCATTCATGTTAATGGTAGATAGTACGGAGTAGTAGTCCTACCGGTCATCCAGAGGTGGACGAGTATGAATGACGGCTGATCAACTACAGGGTAGTACTACGTACTCTACTACTATACTCGTCCGATTTCCTCTCTAGGTTGCCCGCTCTTCCCAGCACAGACTGACCAAACTAAGGTAATGGGAGTTGACCATGGTTTATGGGCAAATTACATTTTTCTCTTGAGAGGTCATCCAATGACCAGTTACTATAGCTTAGGGAGCTCATAGCTCCTCTCTTTCCCGTACACGAGCTCTTCTGGTATCCCTAGCCACCTTAACCTCCAACCTCCCCTCTCAACGGCAATCCCGTGTTCAGGTGGGTGGGTGGCAAGAGTGCTGAATTGTGCTGATATCATGATCCGTTGTACCAGAGAGTCTTTCCCGCCATCGTGAGTGGGTAATTAAGGTATGATGCTTACCCAATTGCGGCCTAGTCCCACCGGCCAACCTCTTCATGTTCATCATCTTGGTCAGCTTCTTTCATTGAAGATAACATCGTCAAGTGATCAAGAAAAATGATTAGAAAAAGGGATAAAAATAAACTCAATACTGACAGTCACGGTTCAGACAATATGCCTAATATGTATTGAATCTGAGTCAATATCTACACTGTTGCTGCTTCCTGCAAGCTGGTATCGACCCCTCCTTCCTCACCGCCCGGCTGGTCACGGGATGGGGGGGAAAAAGAAGCGGAGTTAGGAATTAATGCATTACCGGACGTTACAACAACGTGGTTCGACCAGCTTGACAGCGGCAGGCCAATCGCCTGCCCGACTACTCCTGCACACCTGCAAATGCGGTCCGACGTGCCCTTTTGCAGTACACATATGCCTAGTCTAGGCTATCTGGTTCTATCAGTCTATCGTAAGGTAGATAATGTGGTAAAGTATTGTCTAGAGCTATTGTTGCAGCAATAATACTACTAGTAGGCTTGGTCACGTGGCTGGATCACCACATTGTCAGTACAGTGAAACTCGTCAGGCATCGTCTCTCCGGTTGTTCCACCAGATTATTCCTACAGAATGGGTTGAGTGTCCTGGATGACCTTAACATCATGCCGAGAGATTTGCCGGCATCATGAGCCGAAGCAGCTTTTTCAATATTTCTCTGCAGCACCCATGAGAGTTACTTCGGCGGCAGCTTTTCCAGCTTGCAATGAACTCCATCTACAATTAATACCGCTGGGCATGATCTTTTCTTATATACATTAAATCATGACTTCCCTGATGAATTTGGAGCCTCGTCAAGGCCCGCGTTGGCCTAGTTGTCATGATGTTCAGTTTTGCTTCTGGGCGTTTAGCTTATAGGAGCCAAACTGCTCTTAGGATCAGTATCGTTGTCATCAGTCTATTGGATCTAGTCGCCCCTCATGCTTGATCTACTACACTGGCATGGTACGCAGCGTAGGCGGATCTCAGGCGTTGGCGAGGTGGATAATGTCCATCGTGATATCTTTATATGTTGTGGCAAGATTGATGGTTATTAATCACGTCCAAATCTCGAGGTTTTAACTACAAGATGGATTTAGGATCGATTTCCAATTAATCTGATAATATACGGGATAATTCCTGTAAATGGAGCTTTATTGTTTTACTTGATCGACCCTCGATCACAGCATTATACAGCAGGTGGTATGATCCAAGCTATACGGAAATTACGACTCCTTTAATTCACTTATTTTCGTGCGTGCTAGTGATATCGAGGACAATTTGAGCTTCACAAACTGTGCCCGAGTAGATCCAGATGTGTCCGATTGGCCGTGTTCTGCTAAAGGCTCATCGCGCAGCTGCAGCGCCTCTTCTTCGTGGTCGACAGTAAGCTGTTTTAAGACTCTGCATGTTTCTGTGGCTGAGATCTTTCGCCCTTCCATGATTAGTGTAACAGCACTGTGCATTCGAGCCTCGCCTTTCTCGAAGGCATGGAGCTATTTTTCCCAGCTCCAATAGTCATTTGTAAATCAGTAGCTTTCTGCTCCGACATTGGGTTTTCCGGCATGACCATCCCATCCCAAGTTCCAAAGATGGGATATCCCATGCCGTAGAATTCTACTGTAGTATCAACGCCAAACACGTCCTTTCATTTTTGTGTTGCGTTCCTTTCGACTTTATCGAGTACGGCCGAGCTGTTGTGACGCCTGACCGGCAACGCTGTACGGCAGACAAACCTTCTCAAGCTTGGCTAGGGAAATGGGGTGCAAATTGACATGTTCACTTCTCACGTTCGCACGAGGACAAGGGGTGATAACAGACAGCAGCATGCTTTTAGAGAGCTTCACTGGATGAAAGAGGATAGTAAGCTTTGCGCTTGCTAGGAGCAGGCAGAATATCGAAGCATGCTCTCTTTTGAATAGAAACATTAGGGTATACCATCGCAAAAGAAATGCCTTCCATGAGGAGCAGCTTGAACACGTGTTCCTACTCCATAGGCTCTGGAAGGAAAAAGCAATTTTCTCAATTTCCTAGATCATTGATTCAAAAACTTGTCAAGCTTGCTGCATGATCGGCCAAAAAAGGGTCTTTCGCCGACAAATGGAACTGCCGTCAATCGTTGAGCCATGTGCATAGGTTATGGGCGACATGTGAGGGCTCACGCTTATACATATCGCCAGTTACGTGGCTCTCATGCCAGTAACTACCGTATGCCGTCCCATCAATAGCGGTGAGCGATATAGTACTGAGAGAGAAACCTGCATATATAGATCACATTAGTACATACGGTAGTCTCTTAATAGTGTGTGAACAGCCACAGTGTAGCTGTAGCCTTTCTCCAAAGCTCCCTTCTTTTAAGGACATGCTAGACTCGCCTCTGGGCAAGCTTTCAGAAAATCTATGAATATAAACACTTTGTCTACGCTCGAGAGTATCAGCTGCACCTTAACCCTGCCTACCATAATTGACACAATATCTCTTCAGACATCCTCAGCAATGGAGTCAGCTAGTATACGATTCGCCCAGGCGAACATCGGCCACGTTCGCCTGGCCGGCTTGTTCTTTTGCGCACTCTACGTGGCGGTACGGTTATCATGTCTGATATGTGCAACTGAGACCAATTACTGGATGTGGATGATATGGATCTTTGAAACCCTCTGGACATGTAGGTTCTCAATTCTATCGAAATTGGTTACATGGATAGTGTTTTGTCTAACAACAGTCATACATCCTGCCCTGGCTATCTATAGACCAGTCCCTGACCATAGAACTTCCTAGACGGATTGGGCAAACGTCAAAACGACTTCATCTAGCTAGGAATCATGCGTTGCCTTCGGTAGACATTCTGCTGCCATGCTGTGGTGAACCAATAGATATTATTCACGATACCATACGCGCGGCGTGTGTCATTGACTACCCTCAATCTGCATTCCGGATTCTCGTCCTCGATGATGGAAATTCTCTCGAGCTACGACAGTCGGTAGAAGAGTTGCGTCATACCTGGCCAAACCTTCTTTACTATAGCAGAGGAACTAGACCAAGTCAGAAAGTCTTTGCAAAAGCAGGAAACCTGAACTTTGGCCTATTTGATATCCAGGGAGGAATGGACAAGCCGCCCGAGTTCATCGCCTCGTTCGATTCGGACTTTCTGCCTGCTCCCAACTTTCTGCGAGCCACGCTTCCTCATCTGTTGGGGGATGAGAATGTTGGACTGGTAGCTGCCAGGCAAGACTACTATAACCTTCCCCCAGGGGACCCACTTGGTCAAAGCCTGGCAGTTTATTGGGAGATATTTTTGCCCAGGATGAACGAAATGGGGACGAGTATAGCATCAACTACAGGATGTGTTATGCGCCGCGATCTAGCCGTCAAAGTGGGCGGATTCCCGACTATAAACGAAGTGGAGGATATCACTCTATCGATGATTTTGCCAGCGTATGGGAAGCGCGTCGTAGCCGTCGATGAAATGCTGCAGCTTGGACGCGTGCCATCCTCGTTGGAAGGTCATGTCCGGCAGAACCGACGATGGATCACTGGCTTGACACAGATGATCGCAACTCCCTGGGCACCATCCAGGCAGTCTATCCCGATTTCGTCGAGATACTACATGGCATTATTTGGTATTCAGTGGCTTTGGTCACCTCTGAGTCAGTGTGTCGGTTGTGCAATAATCGCTCCTGCGTTAATATCACGCCAAGCGCTTGTGCCACCCCATTTACTCCAGGTCCAGATCCCATTATCCCTGGTAGCTTTCGGACTCGTTTTCCTGTACGAATGGCTCAAGGCTGCAGCAACGGGGTTTCGATTGTCTGCATTTGCTCATTTCTATGATCTGTGGTTATGTGCAGGTAGGTCTGCCGTCTATCAACCCGATATGGTAGATACAACGTACTAACAGCCGCCAAAGACCGACTGTATACTCTCATTCAATATCATATTCTCGGGTCACAGGCCGGTAGGTCCTTGGTGACTGGCAGTGCCGAGAACAACTGGAACAATCCCACCAAGGTCCCCACGCGAGTGAGACAGTTGAAAAGGGATCTACGGGATTCCGGGGTCGGCTTCAACGTCCTTTTCGTGTTTGGTGTCCTCGCGGGAATCTTCCATTCGGTACTGGGCGCCATCGAGAGATATCCCGACTGGCATTTTCATACGATGACCACCTTGCTGTACCCTCCTGTTGTTCTTATGTGCTACATAAGTCTTACCTGTCACCTAGTCCCACTGTTATGCGTGATGTGGCCGCCTCAGTATCCTCCTCGGAGAGCAGTCCTAGAAACTCATCCGAGTGACCCCCGTGCCGTATTCCCCTCGGAGGCAGTTCGACAATACAACGTGCGCCAGAGGCATGCGCCTCTCGGTTATCGTCGACATCTAGTATTAATCCCGGTTTATGTCACGTTCATGACCATGTTTTATTATTTCTATCTGTGATCTCGTGGAGGAAATGTGGTTGATGTCACTATTGGGGATAGCAAGCCTGAAGCGAGATGACTGTATATCCCGCAGAGGGCTGATAGAAATTGAATGCAAGATTAGGTTGGCCATGTGTAGTCTAAAGCCCATACAAGAGGGGAATAGGAGAGGATGATGGTGTATATCCCCACTCCAACTGATCCCACAAGTCCAGTGTAGGACTGGGACTAGGGCACATCCAGATTGAGGAACATTCTACAGTAGGACCAGTCGCTCCGACACAGGTAAGCTATTCCCCGGCTACTGACAAATGAGGCTATATAGAGCACCGTACGTACCATAACATCCTAGCGGTTTCAATCGTCTTAAAGGGGTACTTTAATCTTATCTGGATTCCTTCAAGTTAAACCCAGGCGTATCGGGAAAATTTACTTAGTCATAATGACTCTTTTATGACTGATAGGACCGAAGCTTTAGTAGATTGGAAGAAGAGCAATTTTATTTTTCAATACATGGAACAAGGTGGTAGACCTTGATCTTTAGAAAATATACAGAGCCGCGTGAAATCAGGAAGATCCTAAGATCTTTGCGTACGCATCCTCCACCTCTTTGGCAATCTCCAAAAGTGTGACGATGACGATTTGATGAGTAATGTTGGGCAGCTTATCCCGTTGAAGCCCAATCCATTCCAACGGTGGTGTCGCCTCTCCCATATCGCGGAGTTGGGGGGTCTCGATCACCGGCGTTTCCAGCGCCACATATGTATACCTCGATTGCGGGACGTTGACAACCGCCGTGATCTTCTCTTGCGGCTCGTTCTTGTCGCCGCTTCCTTCCGCATCAAACGCGCCAGTGATCCGAACCGCTGATGGGGGCAGCGGCTTCCCGAGTCGAGTAGCCAAGGCACGAGAATGAGTCTCCCACATATCTCGAATGAAACTGATGCGGGAGTAGTTCCAGCCAACATCTACCTTGCCCTCGAATGTACTCTGGAAGATATACTCAATCTGCTGAGAGCCCGGGACCTGCCAGGTTTGCATGCGAGCCACAAGTCGAGGCACCTTAAGAATAGTCCCTCCCCTGGATCCGGTGACCCGATTGGCGATTTCATTCACAAGTAGCTCTTCTGTATCCATAGGGCCGGACCGCACGACGTTCGAAAGCGCGACACGAAGCTGGCCTAGAGTTAGACCTAATGCGCTGTGTATTTTGTTGTCCTGCAAAGAGACATCAAACCGAGCCTGCGCATCATGCGCCTCCAGCTTGAACACGTGATTATCGAAGAACGAGCTTGGGAAAACCCCTATGCTAACAGTGTTGATACTAACAACAACTCCGGTATGCAAGGTGATTGGTGCCGTCTCGATCTTATCTTCTTCCTGTTTGGAGATTTCCCTGGACGAGACATCCGCCTTGTCCGAGAAGGTCGACGTTTTCCGGCGCAGGTACCGTTCCACATCTCGTAAAGATGCTTCGTACGCTGCCTGCTTGTCTTGCACAAGTCGCTGCCATGCCTGGTACAATGCCAGCGACTGTGATGCAGTCAGGCTTGTGCAAAAGACTTGCACTTTGTCCCCATCCAGTATGCTGAAAAGGCGCTCGCCAGGAGCGTCATCCGTCTGCCGAACATTGTACATCAAGAATGCAAAGCTGGAGATGTGAGCTATCAAGAATGGTTGATAGTCAAAAGAGACCTTGACCTGTAGCTGAAGCCAAGATATGGACGCCTGAATGAGAGGCGTCTTGTTAACCTGCTGACTATTTGGCCAATTAATGGACGTGGCTATTTTGAGACTTTGAAGTTCAACCAAACCGCTCATTCGGCCCTTGCTCTCGATCCCTAGTGTATTGAAATTGATGCAAAGAGTTTGCTCCCAGTCGGACGTCTTCTTCGAGGACAGCCATAAGTCATTGATGCCAAATTGCGCTTTTCCTAGCGTAGACCCCAAGTCAAGTTGTATTTCCAACTTCTCGATCGAAATCGTGGTATTCCATGGGAAAGCGGGGGTTGCTGCGACTTGTTGATATCGCTGCACGATGTATGCCTGCGTCTCCGTGGGCTGTGGCTCGGATGGAGGGGCAGTATCTACCTCTTCACTTGAAGGAACCCAAATTTCACGGAAAAGCAGAAGATCTTGAACCTGCTTCGCATTGAGCGCAACTTCCATCGGACTCACTCTCAGAACGACCGAGATCCCTTTCGACCTTCCTAGGTGTTTGCTGTTCATGAGAGACATGACCATAGACTCAACCTCAAAGCTCGCGGTTGACTCATTTGAGTACACATGTTTCACCGATGCTTGCAAAGAGTTGAAAGCCACCAGGAGTGCTAGGAACCGCTCTTGATCATCTGACTGGACGGTATTGACTGTCACATAGACACTGTCAAACCGCGTCGTAGCTGCTACTCTCGCTATGGGTTGGCAGCTTAAACTGAACTCCTGTTTGCAAATCAAGATGCCTACGTTCACCTTGCACCGTCCTAGAATTGAACCCGGACCTTTGTCATCAAGAGGGGCTTCCTGCATCAACTTTTGCGATTGCAACATCATGGCATTAGACGGCCTCCTGGACTTTGGTTGGTCGCCCATGGCCTCCTTTATAGTAGCAGTCATCTGCTTGATCAGGGGGACGAGACTGGGATAGAGGACATTTGTAGAAGCATCGACCTTCAGTTCCGCGTTCAGAGCAGAGTCATCTCGCCCGTTATCCTCAAATTGGACTTTCAGGGCCACTCCTGGAGCCCTGAACGTTGCAGTGGCTGTTCCATCTCCTTGAATATAGTGGCCATAAGTAGACCCTGGAAGCCTGCCATCCTTCAAAGGTGGCGCTAGCATTGCCTGTGTATCATCTGCGTGCCGCCCTCGTAGAGACATAACGGCACCGGCGAAATCAACATCTATTAGAACGGAGCGGAAGCGCTTATTTCCAAAAAGTGGCCGGTGTTTTGTGCTATCATCAGATGGCTTTGTCACCAAAGTGGCGTTGGCCTCCCGAATAGTTCGTGCAGCAGAAGCAAGAGAGTTCCGGATCACGCTCGCTGGCAAGATGAAATCAGAAGTAGCACGTATGTCTAAAGATTTCCCTGCAGCTTGGAAGGCTAATCGAACCTCCTTTCCGGCTGAGGAGTATGCCACATTGAAAACCAATTCTGGCAATAGAGCAGAATTGAGCGATCGTTTTCGTCTATTACCCGAAACTGGCACCATCTGCAACTGTACGTCCTCAATTCGAAGCTTAGCGGCATTTGCTTTCTTGTTGGACAACTCCACACGTTTGATGGAGAACACCAGATCATCAGGTCTACGTCCAGATGCCATCGGCGGTACACCTGCCATGTTCCATCCAATCTGAATATCGTTGAAGTCAAGGGAGTACATGGAGTCGAACAGTCCTTCGGAGGAGGCGCTATCCGCAACGTTGATGCTGGGGATCTCCTGTTCCTTGCTTTCCGTGTGGCCGCGATGTCGCAGTCTTTTGAATCGCTTCACCTCCTGAGAAAGATCTAACGTTTTTATGCGTTCCTGCAAGTGGGCGGCCATATCCACCACTAACGCGGCGGTCTCTGGGAAAAGCTCGACATCGCATCCTTTGCTGGTCAAGTGGAACAATCGTCTAGTTTCCCCACTCTCTCTAGTCGTCGAGGTACCCTGAAGCTTAGCGTCAATTGCAAAAGTACAGTATGAGCGGCTCCGATGCGCGTCTTCCTTCCTCAAATCAAAGCTTATGTTCGATGTATCGATATGAAATTCCGGGTATTCCAAGGCATGTCCTGCCTTGAGGCCGTTGTCTAGGTGAAGGCGCACCATACCGAGGCTAATATCCATGTCTGCGGTATAGCTCTTGCCGTTCAGCCCTGGCGCCCTGGCATGAATGGTTGTTCCCGCCATCGTCATGCGTGCTTTGTATAGAATGCTGTGACTCTTAGACACTTTCTTCTGCTGTGGAGGAGGTCTCTTCTGGGCGATGTTCTCATTGAAATGTAGCCGCAAGACTTCGAGACTTTGCTTCAGATCGTCAAGCAAATGCGAGATTTCTGGCTTGGATAGGGCACCCAGAAGGCTTCGCACAGCGCTGGCCTCTACTCTTATCAATTCAATAGTGACATCCACTTCCACATCAGTGCGAGTCGAGGAGACATCAGCAATGACTCGACCATTGATAGGAGGTATCTCCAATGTCGAAAGGGAACGCCACTTGCCGCCTTCGCTTGATAAAAGCGTATGTGCGTTCTTCTTCAAGTCAAAGTCTACTTCGATTTTCGATTCCAGTTTCGGTGTGATTGAAGTTCGTGCCACTTCTCCAGCGATGACATATGTCAGCGATGGAAGCACACAAAAGCTCAGTCGGTAATCGTCCAGGAACATGGCAACGTGGAAGTTATTGCGCACTTGCTTCTTCGAAGGATTTTTGTCAAGCGGCTCATGTGATGGTAATTCCACACTATTCACAAGTTGTTGTATGAAACGAATCTCATCCTCTATCAACCGATCAGCAGTATGTGCAAGGCCCAGCACATCTTCCCTCATGTCATAGCGGAGCTTCCTGCAAGAACCAGCAATCTTCCATTCATGATTCAACTCTACCTCGTTTTCTTCAGTTGAAAGAGAACAGTACATATGAGGATTACTAACTTTCCAGAGCATGAGAGCTTTGGAGGCGCTAGAGAGTTCAGAGAAGCAAGCTTCGGAGCTTAACAACAAGCTCATAATTTCCGGGGTTTCTGCGCTGTGAGGTTTCTGCACAAGCGAGCTCCTGAGAGCTTTACCGGTCAACGCTAGCTTTATATTGATGCCATCAAGGATGATTGACCCCAGGTCAGCTCCAAAGACAACCTGAATTTCGGTGAGCTTTTCTGGGCCGCTGCCACGACTCT